GGGCATAATCAAAGAATAATTAATATGTTGCTAAGGAATTACATTTTGTTCTAGTTGTCTGCATAATTCAGAGAGAAAGTTTATGATGACAGCATCTATCTTTTGGGGTATTGTTTACATTTTCATTCAAATTATAACATGAAGCATTCTCCTGCATTCCATAGTGCCTTTCATCTGCCAAGCTCCAATTACTGTCTGACCAATTAACTTCAGTATTGCACACATGCAAACCACGTTGGGTATTGTGGAAAATCTAAGCAAGGCATTGAAGTCTGAGACTTGACCTCCAGTTTAGGATACTGAGCTTGAAAACCCTGATTTCCAGAGACATTAAATCTTTGTATTTAATTGGAGTTATGAGTACACATGAGAGTCAAAACTAATGGTCAGACCAGCACTACATCCTCTTGGGAGCCCTCTGAATGTCAGGGCACTCCAGAGACATCTTGTATGCTGCTTGAGTTCAGGCTGTCTGGAAGTCTCCCCCAGCCTTGCAAGAGATGACATTTTTCAAAACCTTGCAAGGACAGAGGGTAGCTGCAAGCTATATGTAGTGGGGTCCATCTGCTGCATCCAAATTCAAACCAGATCTCAAGGGCAGAGTACAAAACACCTTGGGCACTTTATGTGCAGTGAAGAAACATACCTTGTGTACAGATTAAAGAATTTACTGCTCTACTGATTAAAGTATTAGCAATCTAATAAAAGAGTTGGTCCAGCTACAAAGATAATAACACTTATAATTCCAAGTATAAAGTTATGGCAAGTTTCAAGTAATGGCACAGTTGGAATTGGTACATATATTCTTCCTATTAGCTGTTCCTCTCCTTGGTGTTATTCTTGCCCTTCCTTTCTGGGTTCAAAAATCAATACTTCTAGTTTTCCTCAAGATGAAAAGAGGTGTAGAGGAGCTTATAGCAAGTTTTCATCTGAAATTGTTCACTAAGGAAAGTATAAGGAAAGCTGATGGAGATATCTTCCTCCTTACTGTTGGGTCAGTTCAGGGTTATTTTTGCACACTTCTTGAAATAGTCAGAGTCACTGAATGGTTGAGGTAGGAAAGCACATCTGAAGGTCATCTTGTCCAACCCAATTGCTCAAGCAAGGCCACCTATAACCAGCTGTGTCCAGGTTGCTTTTGAATATCTCCAATGATGAAGCCTCCACCAGCTCCATGAGGAACATGTACCAGTGCTTGGTTACCCTTACAGGAAATAAGTGTTTCATGATGTTCAGAGCCTTCTGTGTGTCAGTGTGTGCCCGCTGCTTGTCACGGGGCACCACTGAGAACATCCTGCTCTCTTTGCACCCTCCCTTCAGATATTTATCCTCACAGATGACATTCTGTGGATATTCTCAGTTCAGTCAGAGAGAAAAAGAGAAAGATTTCTGCCAGGCTAAGCCTGGGAAAAAGTCCAAGAGGAATGTAAACAATCTATTATCTTGCTTTCCGTTCATATTGTTTATAGATATGTTCTACCACGCTGACCTAAGTCCAGTGTACCAGTCAGGTGAAATGCTTTTACTTTAAGACCGATGGAATTAGTGTTCACTGTGTTCTCTATAAAAGAGAAGTGCTTTTGAATAAACACTCATTTGCCTTCTGAAACCGTACGAGTCATTTCACCCATCCCTTGCTCAGTAGCGTCAAGATTCCACCGAGGCTTCTCTTCCCCAGGCTGAGCAATCACAGTTCTCTCAGCCTTTCTTCATCTCAGATGCTCCAGGCCCATAATCATCTTTGTGGCCCTGTGCTGGACTCACTCCAGTAAATCTATATTTTCCTTTTACTGGGGAACCCATAACTGAATGCAGCACACCAGATGTAACCTCACCAGTGGTCAGAAGAGGGGAAGAATCACCTCCCTTCACCTGCTGTCATCCCTCCTAGTGCAACCCAGGGTGCTGTCTGCCTTCCTTGGCAGAAGAGCACATGGCTGCTTTGTGTTCTGTTGGTGTCCACCAGGCACCCAGTTTGTTTTCTGCAAGGCTGCTTTGTAGTCTTTGGGCTCTTCACTCTTCAACAATAGTGATTCAGTAGAAGATACATGACAAGTATATATATAGTATGAATAGGTACATATAGGTGCAGTTTCACTGACTACTTATTAATAATGTCTGTAAGTATTGGACTAGCAATGGTACATTGCAAAAATCGCTTTATAACACATTCAGGGAGCAAGATGTTTTCTAAATACCAGCTGGACACAATATTTCCCTTTTCAATGTGAGCTCAGCAGTTATTTCAATCTTCAGGCCACTCTTTGGTCCATAATACATGAAAGTTTAGATTCTGCCTAGATCCCCTTAACTTGGGAACCCAAAGCAGAAACTTGTAAAAGAAGAATCTGTTTTCAGAATTTGTCCCATATTGACCCTAGAAGTCACCAGAAATTTTGAAATAGATCCCAAGAGATGGGATTGTTACCTCTTCTCTATGCATTTGATAGTGCTTCTTCCACATTAAATATACTCTATACTTTATATTAGAGTTCTTAAAGACTCACATTTTCCAAACCATTATCCAAACACATTTTTCAGTGGGCATACAGTACTCATGTATAAGAGCTCTGTTAATTCTCAAGTCAGCAGTTCTCAGCTTTTGAATGACAAGTCAAATAGGTGGGATGGGCAGTGTGGTACTGAAGAATGGGGGGGTGGTACTCTGTCCTCCAAGCCTGTATGAAGCCAAGATTCATGGGCGCTGGCTGTCAGAAGGCAAGAAAAATAATATAATTCCTAATGGGGAAGGAGGAGGATATAAAGGGAACCAGGTTCATAATCACTTTTGTCCATTAGCAATACCAGAGTATTTTTCTTAAGACTAAAGGGAGGAGAGCCTGATGTACTTGTCAGCTCCCAATATGTATATATATACACATATATACATATATATATATATATATATATATATATATATATATATATATAATGCAAATTTATTCTATCTCATAAATCCTGCTGGTGGTTTCAGCTGGCTGAAGTATTCTCTTTGTTTCTTGTCATAAACTGCTGCAGCATTCTTTTGTGCAGCTGCCGCATTTCATCCTAATGCAGCTTCATTTCACCCAGGGATGAAGTGGTTCCTCTATGTAACTTTCTCTTCAATTTTTTTAACTGTTAAAAGGGCCTCAAGATGAGATGTTGGTTGCAAGCTATTATTTTATGAGTGTCGTCGCAAAGTGCTGCATTTTACAAATCAATTGTAAGACAAGAAAAGTGACTTTGAAATGATAACTGAAGATAGAGAGAGATTTTTGGGGTTAGGAGGGATTTAAAATCCTGTTTCAGGAATTTCCAAGGAAGATGGCAAAAAAATGGGAAACAAACTAGCATGAAGTAAGGTTGTATAAACTGAGTGGGAATGTGGGACAGTGGGTAGCAAAGATATCAGAGAAATTAATGACAAAGTTAATGTGGCTTCAGAATGGAAGACATGGAAAGGAAAGGGGAAAAGGAAACCAGCAGTAAATAAGACATGATGATGATAAGGAGCAATCAAAAATCTCAAGAGGACACTCAAAATAAAGACCTGAATTTCTTATTTTTATCATATTACTGGACCATATAACATGGATGGGATTTTCATCATTGTTTGGGACTGTTAAATATCTTTGCAGTGTTATTAATGTTATTTCTGAAACGTTCAAATGTTTAAACCACTTGGTGTCCAAATCTCATTGCATTCTTATTTAGATGCATGATTGTGCTGTATGCCCAGGAGTTCCTTGGAAATCTATATAATGGGAGAATTCCCTAGGGAGTCAGTTTTATGCTAGACTTTCAGGAACAGTAATGGCTGCCTGATAGAGTGGCTAATTGCTCTGAAGTCAGATTCCCTCAGGACATTTCCTACTCTTAAGGTCTTTATTGTGTCCCTGCATGCCTGCTGTCCTGGTGTGCTGCCTACTTCAGTGGCCCCTGGAAGTCACATCTCAGCTTAAAAAGCATGTGGAGTTTAGCACATTGCACAAAGATCTCTCCTGCGCTACAAACTCTGACTTTCCCTGTTATTGTTTGCACAGCCACCTTCTTGTTATTTGCATTAGGAAACTCATTGTGTTGTACCCCTAGCTCTGATGATACCTAGATGTAAAAAATACTAATATAGACACTGTTCCCAGACCTGTAAAGTTTTGTGCTTGATGAACCTGCTATAAATCTCAGATCTACCAGTTTTACCAGTATCCCATAAATTTGGGAAAGGAATTCAGCATAATCATTTCACCCAAGGGTGATGTGGCTTCCTAACTCCTTACTAGAATAACACACCTTTTTTTCTTGGGAAATGCAGCCTTGCTGAAGGTAAAAGACTAATGAGAAGTCTCCCAGATGGCCTGTACAGAATTTGTTTGCACTAGAGAACAAAACAATTGTAGTCATTGAAAGAAACATTTAATACAGTCCCAGACTATGTATAAGAGAAGTGTCAGCAGCTCAGAAGGAAAAGCTGTATAAGCTGATCGTCTAACCAGGAAAAAGCCTTTTCATAACTCTGTCTTCAGTTTGGTTTCATTTATTCCTTTCTGGAGAATTCTTCTGCAAATCTGTGGTGGTAGCAGTGAGTAGTCAGATAAGGTTCCAACTCCAACTCATCCCCTGATACCAGTCATGTGGTAATATCAGTTCATATTGCCCTCCTTCTTTTTCATTCCTTCTTTTTTATTAATCTCCCTGCTTTTGTGCTGTGCGTAGAGTGAATAGTAGTTTCCAATTTCCTATTTTTGTATTACCCCTGATTTTATACCCTTTTAGCATAACCCTTCCTCATTCATCTGCTCTCCAAGGTAAACAGTCACACTCTTTTAATCTCTCAGCATACAAAGGTTTTTTTTTTCATGTTCATAAATAATCAGTCTTCTCACTTTCAACCTCTCTAAGAAGTCAGAGCATGAATGGACACATTTGACTATTACTCACCAAGGGTAAAGAATTACACATAAAGGAACTACTCATGAAAGATCTTTCTATTGACATTTAAATTATATTCAGCCGCAGTAGTTTAAAAGGTCCGTATTTTATTGTAATATTACTAGTACCACAATATTCCATGAAAGGTTTGTGACTATTAAAATAACACTTCGACAGTTTTATTTGTCCCTTCCTTGCGAAACATAACTTTGTCTCTTACACTAATTATATGGCATGATATAAAATAATTCCAATGAAATTCCACTTTTGAAAACCTTATTATCAGGATTTATTGACACATGTGGACCATAGTGCAGTAAAACATATAAATTCATTGTATGCTTATGGTTTATATTATTTATTATATATTTCTACTATAAATGGTAATTTTACAGCTGCATGGTACAATTCCTGTTGTATTATTATTGGAATTATTCTAGAAAAGCCCTACAGAATGGATGGGAATGGGGTAAACCATTAAACCTCTATCTAAAAGCATGAAAGGTTACTGAAAATTGTATCTGTCTTTATTAAATTGCAAAGGGATTTTTCCTTGGGGAATATGACAAGTTTTTAATTTTTCCATGCTCTACACCAGCTGCTTGCACTAGTGAAGTGAGATGATAAGACAGTAATTAAGGTATTAACCTGCTCCTTGCAAGCTGTAGATCATGGAATTATAAAATCATTGAATGGTGTTGCTTGGAAGGGACCTTCAGGTTACAACCCCCCTGCAATGGGCAGGACACCTTTCACTAGACCAGGTTGCTCACATGTGAACTCTTGTTTTGCTGTGAATTTCTTATGTGAGTTGAAAAGTCATCTTTTCTCATATTTACAAATATATTCACATTCTTTCCAATTTAGCATCCTTATACTCTACTGTAATCTAATTTCAGAGCTCCGAAGAAGCTTTGCAAATGCCACTCAGTGGAAACCTGTCAGCCTTTAGTGGTACATCATAGCAGAAGGATGGTAGAGTGATGCATTTAAGTATCAGAAATTTGGAATTTGGATTGTCCGGACGAGACAGTTAAGGGTAACTGAGGAGTGGCATAACCCTATTTTTATGGCCAGATAAGTGTCAGGCATCTAATTCCCATCAACCTTACCTCTAACCTGCTTATGTACTTCTGAAGTGCTGTAAATCCCCATCTGTAAAATAAGAAGAGTAAAATAGATAAATATCCTAAAGACTGTGAGATATAGGGCCAGGGAGTAATGGCAGCCATTGCAGTATCTCAGACTGAGCTGCAAGAAGCTGAAACATGCTAGAGCTGTTCTCATACAGCTTCAGCCTGAACTGAACTTTTCCAAAGAAACCATCTTCCCTCATGAGTGCTCTTCTGGGAAGACATTGGGGTGGTGACATTGCTTGTTGGTTTATGAGATACAAGGGTTGTACCAGGACCTGTAAGACAAGGCAGTTTGAGTGTCTACAGCTGCCTGGAGCATGCCTCAGGTCTAAGACACCATTAGTGTTTTCTCCCCAGGAATATTCTCTGATTTACCTTTCATGGAGGTTTGCAGCAGTTCTTGAGAGGAAAAGGCATTTTACCACTCTGGGTTAAGCTGAGCCTCCAAACTGACCCTGGAATGCCAGGTAGGCTAGAATTTCGTTCTGGAAGATACAGCACAAAGTCATCCCAACAGTTTTCCTCCTCTTGCAGGAAAGAGTAAGAAAGGACCAACAGTTGATGTAACCAGAATAACCACTTGCTCACTGATGTGACTCCACAGTCAAATGCACTTCTTTCCAATTAATTGATTAATCATTTTCTCTAACATTCCTAGATATTTTATCTGAATATTGTAAATTAGATTTAAGTGGTGAGCAATACAGGGGGGATACTAAAGTGAACATTAACAGTGATTTGTTACAGAAGATAGACAATAAAGGTTTCACATAAAGTTGACATAAACACAATAGATGGGATAATGATGTACCTTATTTATTCTAGTTGCTAAATCTTTCACTGCACTGTGTAAAAAGACATCTGCATTTTAAATAAAAATGTAGTTTAAAAAAAGGAGAGAAACACCAGAACAGAAGACAGAAGAGACAATGGCAGAAAGGCAGAAATAAGATTAAATACTGATATCTAGACAGGATAAAAGAAAAGGACTATAGTAACTAGATCTTAGCATTGATATTTGTAGATGGTGATAAGATTCCAAGCCAGAAAATGAAATTATTTACATGAGTTTCTCCTGACAGAGCTTTTCACCAAACATCTTTTTAGACTTTTTAGGCTTTTTAATTCTCCTGTGCTCCTTCATGGGGGAAGGACTGTTCCATTGGTTTGACTTTCTTGAGCTTGTTAAAATCCAGTTAATGTAGATTAAACAGAACCCTTAGAGGATTTGAGTCAGTTTGCTAATCCAACAGTAGACCATTCCTACTTTTGGAGGGTTAGTTTTCAACCAGCTATGGGGGTTGACCTGGGTCTCTAAGGGTTAGCCAGGAGCTGGTGTGGCACAAAGGGAAGCAGGAGAAGCAGCCAGCTGGCGTTGGATAGGCAGGGCAAGGATGTCCCCTTCAGTGGCAGTTGGCTGCTATACTGTCTGGTGTTGAGCAGAAACAAATCAGTTTGTGAAGAATCAGAGAAAGTGTTGGAAGAGCAGAAGAGATGGCAAACAACTTGTCTCAATTTCAGCCCCAGAACAGTACAAGCCACCCACACAGTTTGTGGGAGACAAGATCAAACCTGTTTAATACTAAAGATGGACTCAAAGCCAAGACCCAGCTGTGTGCTGAATACTTGTCACATTTCCTGAGTGAACCTCTCTCCTCATTTTGCTCTGAATTATAACTCACTACCAGTAGAAAAATGAAATGGAAAAGAGAAATTTGTTTTCTTCCAAGCTTCAACTAGAAACTGAAAAAACTCCTTAGAATTCTAGTCCTGTGAGACTTACTGACAGTTGCCAATATTTGGGACTGAATTACTATCTAGTCTTAATAATTAATGATTGTTTTTAACTGCTGCCCAAGCAGGTGGAAAGCAGTAGGCATTTTTTTCCAGCCACAGAGCAGAAGGAACAGTAGTGCATAAGGACAAACCCACCATCAAGTGTGCTGGGGCAAGCAGCCTTTTTGGTCCTGCCAAGGGAGATGCTGCTTGTGGGTCAGTGGTGGCTCACATGCTTCTGGTAGGAGCAGGAGGAACTGTGCCTCCTGCCAGCCTTGAGCCATGTCCTCTCTGAAATCATTCTTCTCACCATGACAGCCCTTCTCTGTGCTGTTGACAAAATGCCTTGGTGCCACCTGTGAACACACGTGGGTTTCCAAGTCCTTCAGTGTTGCACCAAGACACTGCATCTGCTGCAGGCAGAATCAAACCCCTGGGAACAGAACTGGGACAACACTGCTAAAAGTATTTCTACTACCCTCCGTTGACACAGCCACTGATGTATTTTTGGTGTTGCACATCTCCTCCCAAAGTCCTCACTAATGTTTCACTATGAAGAAGAAGCAAATATTAGGATATGCGCACAAAACGAGAAGGTTAAACTTAGCATGTCAAATTATTGTTCAAGCATTGCAGTATGCAGTAATAAAAGCATCTATATTGCATTCTGAACTATAACTTGGATTACATGCCCAGGGCAAAATAGTATAAATCACCTTTGATGTCTGCTGAGGAGTGAATCCTTTGTTGTGCCTTTTCACCTAAACTGTAGGAGGGACCAGGAGTGGAATGACTGGAACAGATGCCTTTAGCCAGCAGGAACACACTTGTATGAGCAAAGTCGTGTTTTGGACTGTGCCAGCAGCCTGGTGACTTCTGTACTTCCTGCTGTACTCTGAATAAGACCAGAAAGAGAGATATGGGAGGGAACTGGGAACTGATACTTGTCTTGAAACTCAGTATCCTGGAAGACTAGCAAATCTTACTCAAGGCTGAAGTAGTAATTCAGAAAATGAAATACTCCCCAGAAATGCCTTCATGGAAGACACAAAGTTTTGAAGGCAGAAGTTAATCAGTCAGTGATATTTCACTGAATACAGTGTGCTGCGAACAACCTCACCAAAAAAAAGTAATAACCAAACCAAAAACACCACAAAAAACTAAAAACAAAACCTCAGAGAAGAGCAAGATCTACTTTCTTAGTTATTCCCCATAATTACTCACCCATTGCAACCTGAGATTTTTTAGATCTTGTTTGGGCTGAAAGAATATTTCTTAGCAAGCTCCTCTGAGCAGCCAACTGCAAAAAAACATTGAAATATGATAAGCGTATAAGAGCATTAAATGGTAGCATTCTCCATCACCCACAGCCTCTGTCAGTTGTGTTTCCAAGCCAGATGAAGCTAGAATGTACGTACAGCTGTTCTGAGTTGTAAAATACATTTTGAAATGGGATTGATTTGTCTGTGTTTCATGAGATTGAATTAAGCAAAAGAAAAATAGTATAAAGACTTGTCTTTTTTCCAAGCATTTAATAGAAAGAGTCGAACTGGAACATAATAGAGATGTGCTTTCAGCACAGATGTGCTGTAGTGAGAGCCACGTTTTATGTAAGCTGCTTATTCTTTTGTGCAGTGTTAAGAACTGAATGTACTTTCATACTCCATTTTTTGGCCTTGACATGAACTAATGTCAAAGCAAATGAAGACCTGGTGGTAAATCCTTTTCAGCACTGCTAATGATTGTGACCATTGTGTAGCTGTTCTTGGCTGTCTAATCGTCTTTGGGAAATTGAATTTTTGATACATAGACCTTGCATTCTGAATTTTGATTTCTGCTACAAAATTTGCTGGTGTGATTCATATTTTGGGGATCAGAAAGGTGTGCAGGTCACACACTGCAGAGTATATTCAAAGTAGATTTTATAGTGAGCTTCAGTGGGTAAAGTCATTAAGGGAATGATGAGTGATCTGAACAGAATTACATGGGCAAAAGTTCACGACAGCATACCTTACCTATAAAAATGCATTTTAGTAGAAAAGTGATTTACAACTGGATTTTTTTTTTTCACATGCAAGGCAAAATATGCTGAAGAACAACTGAGTCTGATCATCTTCTTCCAGTTCCATTGTTTGCTTTATAGTTAGGGTTTTGTTTTATGGCTGTCTAGATTTTACAACCACAAATGTGCCAAAACCCTTGACTGGTTTATTCAGGTTGATTAATACTTAACATAAAATGTCTGCTTTCTTCAACACCTGCATGCTGTGTTTCTTTGTGTTTTGCAAATGCAAGAGATACAGATATGTGCTTTGACTTTGATCCTGTAAACCAAAACTGTTCAAACAGTAGATCCTGATCTAGGTTTGGACGGCAAAGAGATGTTTCCCAGGTTCGCTCTGAAACCCACATTTGTGTGGATGAGCCTCTGTTTTCAGTTATTCCCTCAGCTGGTCTGGGAGCAACTGCACATGCAGGCAGTACAGGTGCTGGGCAGAGCTGGACCCAGCATTCAGCTTTCCAGAATGTGAGCCCATGGAGCTTGGTAAAAATGGAGATGCTCCTGCTATTGTCCCTTCAGTATCATGACACCTGCACTGGGATTTTCCTGGCAGAGATTCCTTGGATTTCATGTTGCATTCTGCTCCGTAAGAAATGTCAGAACAGGAAAGAACGCAGTGCCTGCTCCCTGTCACCCCATTTTCATCCTGCTCCACCTTCATATCTTACCAGCAACTTACCCTTGGGGGAGAGTAGATCACAGAGCCACAAACCTGGCTGAACGACTTCTGCTGCAAGGACATGGCTAACACTTGGTCCCAGCCACCAAGTGGCTTTGTGCACACCAGGGTCCTGTGGAGACAGGCAGGCTTCTTAGAGGGACTCTCTTTTGATGCTATAAAGTGTGGTTCAGAGTGATGACAGTACTGTAACAGCAAATAGATCCTACCAAATTATTTTGTTATTTCTTTGTTATTGAAAGAACTTCTAATTCAAAATAACAAAGTGTGAACTGTTTTCTCTTTCCTCTTTTTGCTCAGAAATTGAAGCAAAGGAAGCGTGTGACTGGTTACGTGCAGCTGGATTTCCCCAATATGCTCAATTCTATGAGGGTAAGTAGGTCTTTCTCCTCTGTGCAGTTCTGAAATGCACTGGGCCCTCGCCAGGAGAGCTTGCAGTCAGCCAGCTCCACATTTGACTGAGTTACAGCCATGGCTCGATGCTTCACAAAGCCTCAGCTGCTGGAGTCATACTAGTGCATAAAGAAAAGTAAGATTCTTACCCTCGTAACCATGGGAAGTTAAAAAAAAATGGGGGGACATAGCTTGTGTAAACCTCAAAGGTTAGCAAAAACAACTGCAAAGTATGTAAAAGCATGAGTCTATTTTCTAAAAACTTTCTGAACCATGCCTGAAATAAGATTAAAACACTAGAAGTTATTGAAAATTTCAATCATGCCGAAAGTAAGACTGAAAATTCTGCAGACTTACCAAAAGTGAATAATCTGAGTCGCACTTCACATTTGCAAAGGAAGAAAAGCTGATAGTTCAGTGCTACCTCAGGGCAAATGGTGGTGTCCCTTTCCTAGGTGTTCAGTTCATGCCCAGGGAAGGAGTGTTCCAGAGGGCAGAACCAGTAGTTGCACTGCTGCTGTGTTCCACAGTAGTTTGGGGACTGGAGCTGAGTTTTTTCTGCTCTCCCCAGCTCAATGCTGAGAGGGAAACTGAACTTTGTTTTCCCAAAGTGCATGTTTTCTCTGCCAGAGACACCCAGCTCAAGCCCACTCAGGCTTATTAGTCGAAAAGCAGCTCTGCCAAACACCTCTGGACACCTTCCAGGGTCAGCATGAGTCTGGAGGCAGCACAGATTCACACATGGAATGAGGGCCAGGGAGCCTCATGGGTCAGAGCCAAGTCTGCAGGGAGTCAGCTCGGATGCCATCCCTCCCCTTGTGGGGCTGAGAATGGCAGGACGTGGGATGCTGAGGACACCCCCATGGCCAGCTGAGCTCCATCAGGGCTCAGGTGCTGGGTCGGTCCTGTTGGGCTGCTCAGGTGCCTGGGGACAGGAGCACTACTCAGAGATGCTCAGGTGGCTCCACAGGAAGCAGGCAGACTGTTAAATCCAGCAAGGAACTAAAACTAATAAGCCTGCCAGACCAAAACTGACACAAATGTGTATCTAGTACAGTCCCTGGGTAGCCAGCAGTACTTTTGTGTCTGCCTTGTATTGGGAGTATGTCACATACTGACTCCACCAGGGAAAGGAACGCCTGCTGCCTACTTAACACAAAAGGATGTTCTCTCCAAAAAACAACCTGTGCTGGGCTCCAACAGTTCCCATACAGTCAATATGTGCTCTAGACAGTCTACAGCTCTGAAAACAAGGTGCTTTTCACAGGCATCTATTATGTCAGTGTTGAGCAGTGGTGTCTGAAAATGCTGGCTGAAGTTCCTGTATCCCGGCATCCTGCTGAGGTACCTAAGCATGGCAGAGCAATCTGGAGAGCAGCCCCAGCACTGGAACCCATCCCACTGTTACAGAGCTGTCACTCTTCATTGCAAATGTCACCTTCCAGCATGCTATTCTGGCTTTTTAGCTAATATTGGGGATTATAATTCAGTTTTAGTGGGTTTTTTTTTGTCTGTTACTTTGTCTGAAATCACTGTTATTTGGATCTGTTTTAAAAACAAAAAGCACAGAGTATTTCTGGGGTTTTGGCAAAGTCTATCTAGCAAATCACTCATTAAATCACTCATTAAATGAGAAGGGAAAACCTTGTTTCTCATGTAAAGTAAGCATGGTGGTAATTCCCTGATCTCATCCATTTGTGCAAGGTCCTAAAATGAACAGCTAATAGTTGAGTATTTTTTAAAGCCAAAATGAAATAGTTTTGCTGTCATTCTAATGCAATGCACATTCAGCTGTACCTTTAACAGAAAAAAAAAACACCCTATATGGTGTCAGAACAGGTCACAAATACAGCTGGAAGGGAACCAGAGATGGGTGAAACTGGTCATACTAGATTTCAGTGAGCAAGCAATGTAAATGTAGACAACTTATTTTCATTTGAGTAGCAAGCAGCCATCTTAATATTGTGTCTCCTTTTACAGACTCCCAGTTTCCCATTGACATTGCTGCAGTAAAGAAAGATCATGATTTTCTTGACAAGGACCTTGTAGAACCTCTTTGCAGGTAAATAGCGCTCCAAGTTTCTTTTCTGATAATTTAAAAACATAAGATGATTTTTAACTGTTGGCATAGCAGCAGTTGAGGTGTGTGCTTGTCCAGGTGCATTGAGTGATGAGAATTATAATGCCACCATTCTGAGTTAATTTCTCTTACAGAAGATGCTGCAGTAGGAGACCACTACACTCACAGAAAGCATCACATAATTTGAGAAGACCCAAATCCAATGGATTTGAAACAGATGTTTTTTAAGAACTAGCAGTAGTGCAAGCAAACCCTGAATAAGTGAGAGTCACATTTGAGTTGCACATTAATAACTGTTACATCTAAGTCCAGCAAAAAGGATGAAACTTCATTGCAGAGAATTCAGCAAGCCCTTTTCTCTGGCAGCAGGCATGGTTTTCATGCTGCTGTGATTCCCTTGGTACTCTCATTTGGCACCAGTAACAGAAGTGGGACCAGACCCAGTACTGCAGACCCCCCAGCAGTACAGATGCTACAACTGATCCGTGCTTTGCCCCTCCCAGCAGTCCTGTGTTTGCTGTTTATCTTGCTTTTTATACTCTGTGATGAATATACTGTACTGCATTGCTCAAGCCCTGTCCCCCAGGACTCAAGACACAGCAATTTTGTGGCAGTTTTGCAAAACCGCATTGCAGAGACATTGTTCCCCTCTTCTTTCCCCTGCACTCAGCTCAAGCTGGGTTCTGCTCCTCTCCTCTTCAAGTCAGGACAAAGGAGCATCTGGCCTTTAACCAAGCAGACTTCATTACATGTTATGGAAATTTTCACAACACCAACATCAAGATAATTAGACAAGACTCTATTTCCCCTTCTGCAACTGCAGCTAAAGTCAGCAGAGATGGCTTTAAGATATGCTGTTCCGCATCATACTGTACATTGTAAGGACTACTGAGTTTGTGGTGGAGAAATGCAGAGAAGGTTTCTGAGAATCACCAAAAATACGGCTGGGAAGGGACTTCATCCAGTCCACCACTCCATCCCAGGCTATGCCCCCCTTCCTGACAGATCCAGGTAGTTTCTGGGCATAGCTGTCAGATTGCTTTTCCAAAATTACCCTGTGCAAGTGAGGTCTGTTGCTTCTCATGCTGTCTGTTATGGCTATGGGGAACAGAATATTCTTTCTCTGTGTAATAGCTTTTGTTTCTGAAGGCATATCAGTAGGAAAGACTTGGATTCTCCAGTGATCTCTCTCACAGATGCCTGAGAACAGAATTAACTGCAGACTTGATCCACTGCTGTTCTGTGCTGCTTGCTGAGAAAGATTGCTGTGTGGGAGATACCTTCTTCCCATACATATGTATATCCCCCTGCTTCAGTCTGGCTTGATGGAAGACACACTTTGCTGCAGTTTGGGAACTGGAAAGTGATAGAGATAGGAGATTGAGATCTCTTCCCATCTGCCCTTTACCACAAAATTGAAGGACCATTAAAAATGCAAGAACTATGTAAGTTCGTGCCCCTTTCTTGTGAGACAAAACAGTGAGATATAGTAATTTCCTAGCTCTGTGATGGTCCCTAATCATTCTTCTCTGGAGTAATTGGCAATGGTGTTGCTACAGTCATGGTCACCAGGCATCCAACACCTACACAGCTAAAAGGGGGAACAGCTCATCTCTTGCTCCTCCAGCCTTTCTGTAGACACACAGATACACCTACAGTTACACTATGTTGATATATTTATGAGGATTATTTTACAAGCTGAGAAGCTAGAGACTTGGTTGCATTGTGTTTTTTTTTCTCTTTTATTAAAATATGAGGGTTTGGAAAATTAACTAGCAGCTAGATAGATGCACTTATGGGAGAAAAATGCCTTACATTAGCCTAAATCAAAGGACCTACAGAAAAAAGCATAGACACAGATATTTCCACACTTTAAAGATAAATGGGTTTATGACTCTGTAACACCTTCTGTAATTATTTTATTCAGAAGACAGTACCTGTTTACTTGAATTTTTGTTGGGAGCTTTTAAACAGCTTAGATCTTAAAAATTAATAGCTCCTCATAATATTAGAAATACAAGTATTATGTACAGGTTATGTTTTCAGATTTCAGACATTTAATTGGATGTAACTCAGCAGCTTCAACCCCTTCACTGAAAGCAAGCTGTAAAAAGCTATTGTACCAAAATGCCAAGATTCAGATTCATCAGAAACAGTGAACAGTGTCAGCTGCTGACCCTAGTTCCAGCTTTGTTACTCTATGAGCTATCAAACAAGCATCTTCCAAGTTTTCCAATGCAATGGAAATCCTCACAGCTCAGCTGACCACTGTGGCCAGTTCTCTGCCCTTCCTTTGCTCTGCAATGCTGTTACTGCAAGGTGCAATCCAATGTACCACATGAGAGCTGCAGGCTGTGATGCACTTTGAGGAAAGAGGAAGTTAAAAAAGGTTGGTTATTATTTCTGTGTGCAGATTCCCAGGTTGGCAGTCAAACTTCCATTCTTCTAACATTCAAAGCTGCCCTTAAAGCTATGTGTGACCAAGCCATCACACTGACTAATAGTGCATTCAGCACATAATGCTGAACAAAATGGGCTTCTCATTTCTTTTTGGAAGATAATTTTAAAGCTGAAATGCCAGCATGGATAATCAGTTTGAGCAGTTATAGCTCTGAATAGTAATAGCATAAGCACTGCTCTTGTGGGTTGAAATCAGACTCTCAATCTCATTTTATAATCAGTTTTCCTACGGCATTGAAGTATACCAGACAACGTGAGGCACAAATGAGGAGGAACCTTTTTTTAAGGCAGCTGGTAGTATTTTAGTCAGAAAGTCTAAAACTCCCTGTTGTAAAAGATTTCAGTGACCTTTTTGAGATATTCTAACATTCCTGCTGTTTACAATATAATTCGAAAATTTGGCAGAGTAAAAACCAAATTTGACGCCTTTGGGTTAGAGGCGTATCTATCAAGAGATTCCACTCAGATTTTATTGAGTAATGAACAATAGAGAATTGCCAGGCAATCTGCAGGCAAACGCTGCCAAAACAATAATTGAGCATGAAAATTTTATAGCTGTGTCACTTCCAAAATAGCAGCAACCAATTTTGCTCTGGGAACTCTTGTGGCTGCTGTGATAAGAGGGTGAGCAAGAGAAGCCAAGCCACGTTGTACTTTTTGTATTCACGTAAATACAGTGACTAAGAACATGAAGAACAAGTATACAACAGTTTGATACATAGTTCCCTAAACCAAGCTCTTAAAATTTGAGCTGTGCCAAGCAGTCAGCAGCCTTTTTTTCCATAGCTGTTTTCTCTTGGACAGCTTGTAAACAAAGTGAAAGTTGCTGTATGGGATGGGACATCCTCCCACCAGAGTTTGGAAATGATGGGTGTGCAGTCAGTACCATCTGCCGAGTTATATTTCTCTAAGTGCGGTTGGAGGATAAGCCTGACTCTCCCCATGCAGAACAGAAAGCCCTGTTCCAGAGGCAGCAGAATGGCTCCCACTGACTTCCAGAAGAGATTACTTATCTCATGTGAGCCTGGAGCCTACAAGGTGACTCCTTCAGTGGCAGCCATGATAAAAAGGCGATAGGACTGGAAAATGCACAAAACTGGTGGAGCAGGGACATGCCAGTGCCAGCCTTGCACACCAGCCCTACTGGTGCTGGGAGGATTCTTATTCAGTGTTAAGACCTCAGCAAAGCCCAGCATCAAGAGCTTGATGTCCTCTTCCCAAAGCTGACAGCACCAGAAGAAGCCAGGCACGGACATGTGTATGTAGCACCTAAACTTGGTTAGGAATAACAGTAAAAGAAAGGAATTATGTTGTGGTTCCCTCAAAGAGGCATTTACATAACCACATAGTATGTTTTCCTGGTCAAAATCCATAAGAGAGGGAATTTGCTGATCTGCTGATGCAGGAGGCACTGTGCTGTCCATGCTTGTCCTCCCCATGATGCCTCTCCTTCATGGCTGCATTCCAAAACACCTGCTTGAAAGCAGCTGCAGAACAGGTCCAGGGATCCACCAGGAACTCAAACTCACTTCAGAGCTGCCTCCCTATCCAATGGATTGCCCTCTCTTACTTGGATTGCTCTTAAAGCAGGACAACAGGTCCCCCACAAGGTTTTCCAGCTGGCCTGAGCCTGCATAGCTACAAGCTTGTATTTATTTGAAAACACTGCTCAGTGCTGTAAATGATGCAAAAGTTAGAGTTTTCCTGCTTTTGAAGAACTTCTATCATGAGAGTTAACAATTACAACACTGGGGTTGGGAGTCAAAGCCTTAAGGACTTGTGTCTATGGCCATCTTAAATCTCCTCAGATAGTCCAGACTTCTCCATGTGTTGTCTGGAGGTATCTGCAGCAGCTAAAGGCCAAGCTTGATACTCCAGGGGATCTCAAATAGTACCAGAAACATCTGTTTGGGCACCTGAATATCTCTGCTGGCTTTTTAAGAATTATTCCAAAGTCTTAAAACACCTTTGATGCTCTGGGGAAGAAATAAAATTAACATCACTGAAACACCTGCTGTAGTACATTTTGCAGTCTTTCCCTGAGCAATGCAGAAATTTCTAGATACACTTTCAAATGCATCCTAGATTATTTGGGTTTTATATAGCCACCTCTCTTGTGTTTATTTCATGTGTTTTCCCCTGCCTTTTGTCAAGTCCAGACTTTGTGTTTTGTTACCATTACAAACAGGAATTCTTTTCCCATGTTTTTTAAGCAGTCACATAAAAGTGCAGCGCTCCTCTCACTTCAGCTGGGACATTGGTGACAACATTGTAGCAGAAACTTCTGGGTTTTTTTCTTTTCAAAAGATTTGCTGAGGAGTTGACTGTCAGTCATCTGATGACTTTAAACTGATGAGAAAAGCTTTCTGCCACCACTGGCCCATCAACAAGACGAAAGAAGCTGAAACAGACTGACACTGATTTGAGCTGTTAGTACCAGACAAACTCACAAATATGATCATTAGTTCTGTAATTTCACTGGCAAATCGTTCTACAGCCCTGTAAAAGCCCCCAAAAAAACATGACAATGTTTTGCAGTGGGGTGAATTTAAAACTTCAGGGTTGAACTCCCTGGCGCCCAGTAAAAAGTAGTTTTTGTTTTGGTAGAACAAGTGTGGAAATGTAGCTAGACTTTTCCCTTCAGCACAGGCCAGCTGACAAAGAGGTGCAGGGACTCCAATATTAGCCAATATTCAGCACTAAGAGGAAGCTGTCCCCAAAGATAGAAAGCTCAGCTGGAGTCCTTTGAAAATGTGCCTCTGCATACTTGGAATTGATATCAATACACACATTTAAACATTTTGTGCTCAAATGAAGCGCTGAACATTATTCAGCCTCAGGGCCCCAAGAAAACGCCACTTTGGGTTGAGAAATTCTGTGTTTGGGCAAAAGAGGAGTTTTGCAATAATAGATGTAATCCCAGAAGAAGATTTGTGGGCAGAAGGCTGCAGATATAGCTGCACAGCCACAAACCCTGGAATTTATTTCAACATTACTATCATGCATTCAGGGTGTGCTTGTGCATATATTATACCCAAATTAATATCACGAGCACAGGACTTTTCTAATGCAGCATAACAGATTTATTGGCTTGACTTAGGGAGGAATATTTGATCTACAAATGAGCAGGTGTTTTTTGGGTTTTTTTTTAAGGAAGATCCACATTTGGTGGGTCTGTTCTTTGTTAGTGGTGGTGATCTTAAAGGTATGCTAATATTAGAAGTTCTGCGGAGGAATATGTTAATGCCATAATCTTCTTATGTTATGTGAGAGATTATATTATTGATCTGATACTTTTTTCATGTGTCCTTGTAACTTATCACACGCATTTCAAATGTTAAGTTCTAGAAACTGGAGGCCTCTCCCTGCACCCCAAAAGCAACAGAGACAAGTGTTGCTATAAAGACAGAGGAGATGCAAGCAGCCAAAAGAGGAGTGTTGTGAGCATGTGGTTCTCTCACTCTGCCTCCCTTTATTTTGAAATTAAGTCCTAGCTATGGAAAATTTTCAAAGTCTAACATATTTAAATTTAAGCTTCTGCTTTTAAAAGTTTGACAGTTTCATGTATCAGGATCTTTAAGTATAAATAAAACCAAATCAATTATCATTACCACAGGAGGGTCTATATTGAAAGAGCATGTTTACTTGTCCTCTGGCTGTCCTTGCATAAGGGCGCACACACACACACACACACACACACACACACACACACACACAGAGAGATTGTCATTTAACTCACTGTCATCACAGGATAGCCTTGGATTTAAGGAGAAGAAGCCTTACAGAGACTCTGGTAACATCAGTATAAACATGGTCAAAAATAGATAAAAATATTTATTTTAAAATGTTAGATTTGTTACTTGTTGAGTGTGTTAACCTGTGTAAGATCCACAGATAGGAGAAAAGAAACTATTGGCTTTGGAGAAACTATAAGTAGCAGCTAGAGGTTCTTTATGTCAATTTTTTTAAAGACGTGCCAATTTCTAGAAGTGAGGAACTGCAGCTGGTTTTTCATTTGGTCTTTCACTAGTGTTTTGAAATCCCCATTTTAGACCAATTATGTTACAATCCTGCGTAAGGCAACTCACCTCCCTTTCTTGTCACATTTCCCCAGCTATTACAGGTGTTTGTTTATGGTTTTTCCTGTGCTAAGTACAAAAATGTCTATAAATTAAAAAGCAATCTATCAAACCTGGCTGTCAAGTAAAGTGAAACTAAGGGTTCCTTTTCATACGGTGGTCGTATAGCTGGAATAGATGACCAGAATCCTTTCTGAAGCTGTTATATGTGGTTGGCACCCTAGAGTAAGATAAGAGAACATGTTTTGAACTTACAAAAAATCATGCCCTTTAGTCAGAGGCTGCTAATCTTTTGAATTTGCTTTGCCCTGTAGACGACTGAACACACTGAACAAGTGCGCCTCAATGAAACTCGATGTGAACTTCCAAAGAAAAAAGGTAAGGGAACTTCAATAAATATACCCTGGTGATAAGACCACCCCAATTTAGCCTTTAATTCAATAATGTTCTTAAAAGTGACTTATTTTACTTTGAACATGAATGTCAACATTATCTGGATGCATGATAATGTAAATTGCTGAATCTTGAAATTATAAATAAAATAGAAACTGTGAGTAAATACTGTGTGTGTTAGAAGGGCTCACACAGTACTTAAATTCTACATGTGTACAATTAAAGTTAGTGGGTGAAAAGATAGTAAAGCTTCATTAGATTGGCTTGTTTGTCAATGCCATAAGAGTACACAGTGGAAAATCCTGCTCAGAAAAAATGGAAGCTGCTGAGATGAAACCAACAGCTTTTCTTTGTTTCTTATACTGCCTTCTTCCCAGTTAAGAATATGAAAATAAACTCTGTCATCATTACAAGCTCCTGTGTAACATGGGAATTATCTGAGAGTAAAGGGTTTCAGTGAGGGCTGCAGAAACAGCTTGTTGATTTTGAGAGTTTTGTAACATGTCCAGCATTAACTGTTGAATGTTTGGTTTTCTGGTCATAAATTCCCCAAAGTCCTTGAATGTTATACAATGGTAGTTGTCAGATCTGAGAAATCTTGGTTCCTGTTTTTCCTTCCTAGAGTGTTTTTCTAGTGCTTTTTAGAAACTGACTCCAAGAGCTGCATTTTTGATGTCTTTGCAAATTCAGTCTCATCCTACTCTATTCAGTGTTCCAGGGAACTTGAACAGAGGATGATTTTAATGTCCAGATATCCTGCTTTGATGCATGTCTGCTTGTTCTTCTGTGTACTAACCTCTTCAGCTTCTATTTTGTCCATTCCCTGGAGCTACAGGGACTTCTCATCACTGCATATGGGGTTGTTTTTTGTTGGTTTGGTTTTTTTTTTTTTTGTCTTGGATTTTATGTCGTGTTAAAAAGGGAGGATTTTTTTTGTTATGTTGGTTTTTCATTAATCTTTTGCTGCCACTCCTCTGTGTTCTGAATGGATTGAATTCCTCAGCTGCCCTCCTTGCAAATGACCACTAATTTGTGGTGGAAGAGACACGGCCCTACTTGGTACTTTTCCTAGGGGACAGAAGCTATTTGGGTCCATACCTGCACAAAGCCACAGAGAAACTGAGCACAGAAAAATGTAGACAAAGAGGAGTTGGAGGAGATTTTAGTTCACAGATACAGAGCAACTGAAAGTAGAAGAGAATGTGAGTGAGAGAAGAAGAGGGAGAGCCTGCTGACAGGAGGAAATGTAAAAGCCAGAAACTGGGTCTGAAACTGATCACCAAACTAATTCCATTTATTGCTGTATATACTGCTTTTCCTAATAGCCTCTATGGTGATCTGAACAATGAAATGCAAAATCAGCTTGCTTTGGAGCTTCAGCATAACAGGTATGCAGAGGACTAGCACAGCTGCTTGAGTGATTCACAAAAATATGGCCAAGCAAGCTGCCAGGCAAGGTTCCTGTGAAAGACAGCTCAGCATCAGCGTTCCCTGCTGCCCACTCTCCCACCCAGACCATTCCCACTGTCTTCCCTTGGCTGCTGTCTTCCCTTGGCTTCATCCAGATGCAAACAGAAATCCTTAAGTATGTGTTGCAAATATGTCCGTAAGCGATTTGGACAGACAGAGATTAGCCTTTGGATTAACTGCCTTCTGCAGCTGTCGATTTATGAGAATTCCTGCCCCCAGCTGGAAAAATGTGGCAGAATTCCACTGCAAATAAATCTACTATTTGCCTTTTGTTATCATGCCTCTGTATTTCAGGCAAGTATACCCTCAGTCAAAAAGCTGTACTATTTTAAATCAGCTGTGACAAATCTGTGAATCAAAACCTCTTTCTCTTTGGCAAATGTTACCAGTCACTGCTCAAGAAACTTGCCCCTTCTCATCTTCCCAAACATAATGGTATTAACTGGACTTTTGAATATGCTCCAAAGCCGTGCACTTGATTTCACCCTAGGTCAGTAGAAATAGACAGTCACTGCTCCAAAATGTCTGCTCTGCCTGTGTCAGCTGAATCATTGCTTTCAGACCTTCTCTTGATCCGCTGTCCCCCTAGCTGGTGACACGTGGGTGGCCTAAGTGCTCTCAACATTTTTTTTTTTTGGACAGTTTCATTTGTCAGGACACTCAGATATCTGACAAGAACAGTGGGTCATTCAGGATGTTCGTGGCTTCCAGAATTTCTATTGATTTCATCAAAAGAAAAGCACAATATGTCATAGGACTCATGGTGCAGCTGAATTTGTAGTGAGTCACCATAGCAGTATCTCGGCATCCAGATATTTCATTTCATATTTGCCTGATCTTGCTTCTGATGAAAAACAAGCATGTTTCTTTATCAATTAAAAAGAACCCAAAATGCAGCCTTTATTTAATTGAGCTGCAAATTTTGACACTGAAAAGCTTCTGTACTTTCTAAGTGATTCTTGGGCAGAATGTAATCCTGTCTTTGCTGTGGTTAGAGGGGAAAACTTGTTTACTTCCAATATCCATTTCTGTTCATCTCTGCTTTGTCAAAAAAAAAAAAAAACCACAAACAAAAAAAACCCCAAAAACAGCAAAAAACAAAACTCAAACAAACAAGCAAACAAAACAAAAACACAAGAAAATCCCACAATATAAAAACCCTACAAACTTTAGATTTAAAGTATATTTACCACCGAATTTTTTTTATTTCTGCCTTCTGTTCTGTGCTTTCTTCTTGGTGTTTTTTGCAATGTCTCTACCACTTTGGCTACTTTAATCTATTCCAGCTTGTAGAAAATAGAGGCTAAATCCTGTCAGCTCATACAGTAATGTCAGTGCAACTACAGGGATTTGTGTCAGCCAAGAGTCTTCCTTAAGGTCCCTTTGGCATATTGCAATATAGAACAAATTTTAAAAATATGTTTATCCTGCTGGCTGGTGCCACCAACGCTTCAGCAGTGGTATGCTTTGTAGATATAATTACCATTGCTAAATATTTAAAAGTACGTACCCTTGCGGTTTTTAAAATATCCACTTTGTGGCACTACTAAGACCACAATAAATGGATTTTTAAGTTCCTGAGGCTATGCAATCCTTTGGTCCATATATGCATACAGCAGGCTATAGAGGTAAAACAAAGGTAGAACTGTCTAAAGTGCCATTTCTTCCCTGCAGACAAAATGGCCAAAGCAGTATTATTAGCCTTTTCTAGCCCCTTCCCTCATACTTCAGTATGAAGTGCCCAATTTTTCTCTTTAACAAGCCACAGAATGAGGATCTCCATTCATTCCTGTAAACTCAAGGGAGCACTGCACACCTCAATGTTAACAAAAGAAAGAGGGATGCCTAAACCCAAAATTTCACAGCTATATTTTATTTTATGGTTTGGACATGATCTAAAACATCTGGCTGACTTGAAGTGATAAACTGGCAAAAGTTTATGGCATCAGTGAGACCTGGCACGCTACTGATCTCAATCTCTAGCTTTTGAGGTTTCACATTATTTAAGGTTTTGGGTGCTCTTGTAAAATTTGTTTTACATTTTTCAATTAGACAGGCCAACAAAGATCTAGTCTGAGATTGGAGATAACTTTGCCATCAAAACTTCGTATAAAAATACTTCTAATAATAGACTTTTAAAATGAGAATTTTTCCAGTCCCAAAATAGTCTTTCTGGTTTAACACCTCATTTTAGTCTGACAGCCTGTCATATTTTACTGCCTTCATACTGCTTCCAAGAATGTGAAGAGCTGTTTGGATGTCATGTAGGTGAAGTTAGTTTGTTCTGCTTTAAAACAAATGCACAAGAAAAATACAGTACAAGTCCAGTTCAAAGTCAGGAAAAGGGTACGCATTAGCAACTGTGGGCTTCATGCTGAAGATGTATCTTTTTTGTATGATCAAACAGATGAGAAAAATGTCATAGAGTGAGGTTTTTTTATCTAACTTTTTTTTCAAGGCACACGTTCTCTTCATTGCAGAGTATCTCCTAAACATAATCACAGCTCTGCACGCCTGAGGCTGAGGGATTAGACCAGGAATGGCTGTGGGGTGCTGCTGCTTCAGGAGAAGCTAGAGACAGCGGGGCAGGCTGCAGATCATCAAGTTTGGGGTGCCTCTACTGATGACAGCAGTGAAGATGATGTTTGCCTACTGTAGGAAAGCTCACCTCAGCTGCAGATGCTGCCCCATGCCAGCCTGAGCCTGGCTGCTCCTCCTGCCCACACCTCCATGGCTGCCTTCTCTGCTCTCCTTTGCCTGCACTCAGATACACCCTTAGCAATACTGCCAAATATTTTTTTATTGTTATTTTAAGCATCATGATTATTTATCTGTCGTTATACTCCTGAAACATAAATCTTGTTAGATGTATCTGGCCTGTGAAGTTTATAGATGTTTATTTAGTTCTCACTGCAAACCTACGTGCAGCACCAGATATTTGCTGTCTCGGATTTTTAAATAGCTCACATTGCTGTAGTACCCAGCTACTTCCCTGTCTTTACCATGTGTCTCTTAACACTATCCCTGCAAGTCAGGATTCCTTTACTTTGGCCTTTCAAAACATTTTTTTTTCTTAAACAGTCACTGTGAGCATCAGCCCTACACAATTCAGTGCACAGGCAGTCCATGGAAGCCAAGTGGTATCAGTGGGGACTTCTAGCATGGAGCAGGCTTTTATTCCTTTCTTGTTAAGATGTTTTTTACAACTAAATGAAATACGGTGTTATGAAAGGACTGATGACCAGTCTTCCATAAACTTGGCTCAGAGAGGCTTTGTTGCCTGTTGCTCACCTGGAGCAGCCCAATCGCATTAATTCAAATATCAAGTTCAAGCACACAATTTTAATATGTGCCACTTGCTTTTTTCCCAGAGTGAAGATTCAGATGAAGAAGATCTCTGTGCTATCAGTAATAAATGGACTTTTCAAAGAACCAGCAAAAGATGGTCTCGGGTGGACGACATTGACACTCTGCTTCACCGATCCGACAGACATGGCTCTTCTGGGGACATTAAAATGAAAAACACGACAAGCAGTGAGAGCGTCCTTACAGATCTGAGTGAACCTGAGCTCTCATCAATTCACAGCGAGAGCAGTGGGGGCAGTGACAACAGGAGCCAATCTGGCACCACCAGCGCTGCCAGGGAGGCCTGTGACTGCTCTGCCCATCATGATGTGGAAAGCACCCTGGTGCAGGACTCTGCTGCAATAATCACCGCCCCATCCCCCAAGGACGGCCTGAAGAATGAAAATCCAACACGAGCCAGAGCAAAAACCTTTCTAAAACGCATGGAGACACTAAAAGCAAAAGCTGTGCATGGAAAACTAAAAGGCTCGGGAAGAACAGGTCCTTTAGAGATCAGTGGACCAGTTCTCCAGTTTGAGCCAAAATCCTTGAAAGACATGCACTGTGTACAGATTGTCAATGGCGATCTTCAAAATCTGGGGCAAGATTCAGTCAAAAGAGGGCTTCCCTTTTCTGCCAAATCCAGCAGTGACAGCAGTCAGTCCGAAAACAGCAGCAGTGGAGTGAGCACGCCATGTCTGAAGGAACACAAGTGCCATGAAGCAAACAAGAGAGGTGGGATGTACCTGGAGGACCTGGATGTTCTGGCAGGAACGGCCTTACGGCAAGTGGTGGACCAAAACCGCAAAAATGAATTTCATTCCCAGGAGAACTTGGTTGTGCACATTCCCAAGGATCACAAACCGGGGACCTTCCCAAAGGCACTTTCTATCGAAAGCCTCTCACCTACAGACAATAGTAACAGTGTAAACTGGAGGACGGGCAGCATCTCTTTGGGAAAGCAGAACTGCTCTACTCCAAAGGAATCTGGACTGATGGCTTGCTGTCCTAAAGAGAGCAGAATTAGTATTTATGACAATGTGCCAGGTTCCCACTTGTATGCTAGTACTGGGGACCTCCTGGACATAGAGAAAGATGTCCTTTTTCCTCAGTTAGATGACATTTTGCAACATGTCAATGGACTGCAGGAGGTGGTAGATGGCTGGTCAAAGAAGCTGTTGCCAGGTCTGCCGGTTGGTGACGTGTCGGTCAGGGAATCCCCATCATTGCCTTTCCAGTCGCCTACACAGATCACTCTCGATTTTGAAGGAAACTCTGTGTCCGATGGCCGAACCACCCCAAGTGACATGGACAGAGATGGAACATCCCTGAATGAATCCGAAGCCACTGGTGTTAGGGACAGGAGGGACTCTGGGGTGGGAGCATCTCTCACAAGGCCAAGCAGGTGAGCAGCAAAATTTTGTATACAAATCCACAGACTGGGAAATACAATATAATTAAGCAGAGGTTCTCAGCTTAGGAGTCAGAAGGCACAGGGTACCATTACAGTAGTGTTCATCCTGCATGGAGATGGGAATTTCCCAAGGAAAGGTGGGATTTTGAGGGAAGGGACATCCTGCTGCAGTATTCTTACATGGAATCGATGCAGAATTGGTTTAATAGAGCAAACTAAGGCATTCTTTATCCCTTGATCCATTGATTACATAGCAGGACCCTGTATATATTGTAGGATGTATTTTTAATTTGTCTTCTAAGTTATGCACCCAGAACTTTATGAATCTGTAGCTTTATGCACTTTTCTTATTCACTGATCTGCTTTAAAGATGTGCCCCTTTATGCTCAAAAAGAACTTCCCTATGCTGCCCCAGCCCCTTACGTGGATGGGATGAAATTGTGATGAATGATTTACTTCTTAATAAAGTGAAAAGTGGAATTTTGTTGATAATTTGCAGACCTGTTTTAAGTCAGAGTGATGAGCTCCTGTTGTGCCAAGTACCAATGGTCCTGGGCAAGAGCTTTTGTGGGTCTAAACTGTTGTATGTAGGGTAGCTTTGTAAGTGCAAAAGCAGGGAGAACATACCTAGTATTTTCTGATACTGGTATTTCTGATAATACTGATCTGCTGTCAGCCTTGTCACACCTTCATAGAGGACTCTGCCATGCCATGGTTTGCTGCTGCCTGTGCTTGCTCACCACTACCACAAAAGTGAAAGTGGACTGGAGGAAACTATTGAGTAAATGAGCAGTGCCAAATTTTTTAGAATTTGTGTTAGAACTTATACATAGTGAAACAAGAAAAATAAAATTAGGGAATTTTTTTCTGATGAATCCAGTATACAGAGAAAGTGCATTGGGGTAAAAATATGTGAATGGTTCAGTAGCTTGCTGGTTGTCTCTCTAGATAAGGAGACACAGGGTTGAATCCTTTGTAAAAAAAAAAAAAAAAATCTTTCAGCATTTAATAACAGATCTGTTTGGAGAACCTCATCTCCAAATACCTCAGTGGTCAGGTCAGTCCCCTGAGAGATGAGGGACTAGGCATCAAATACCAGTTCTGAGTCAGGCAAAGAACATTTGTCTCTAAATCTCCCACATCCTGTTGGAAGTGTGTGGGCTAAAGACCATAGCAGGCAGCACTGCTTCCCCATATATATGGAGAGGACCCACATCCACTTATGAATCTAATGTTAAAATGACAAAACTTGGGCATTTCTGAAATTAAAGAGATTATCTAAATTGTTGTATTTATCTCCAAGGTACATTTTCTTTCTTTTCACACCACAAGACATCACATATGTGTGTGTTTATGTATGTTTTATACATTGCCCAGCCCTATCTCACAGTACACCATCTTTTTTGCTCCACCAAAGCAGTTTTCTGATTTTTCTACCATTTCTTTTGCTAAAGGCAATTACGATGGCAAAGTTTCCAAATCTCTCATCGCCTGAGCCGCTCCATTGCGTCGCTTCACATCAGCAACCAGTCAGCAGCCCAGCTGAATCTACTACAAAAATTCTCTCTGCTTCGTCTCACTGCCATCATGGAAAAGTACTCCATGTCAAACAAACATGGCTGGACCTGGTGAGTACCACTGGTAACTGGGAGGAGACTTTTTAGAAGAAAACAATTTCTCCTAATTCTGTTACTCTTCTTGGTTAGTAAATGCAATTAGAAGAAACTGTTGACTTCAAGTGTGAGATTTGAAACTGGCCCTTTTTATTCATGGCTGCCTAGTGGCTCGTTGGCAAAGTGAGAAATAGATCCTGAGAATCTGACTTCATTCCTGAGCTCTTAACAGAGAGACAACCCTGGCCTTTTGAACAATGCTGCAGTTCCAGAAAAAGAAACAGGAAAAGGAGAGAGTGACTACAAAGTAGGAAAAGTTTACACTAAGTCCTACCCAGTATTCTTTTGGTGATTCAAAAAGAAACAGCTGCTGCTTCATGTGTTTGATACTGCTTTGTTTGAGCTTTAAAAGAAGGGTTAAAATAGTTGTGGGACTTTTCTCTAGAAATCAAAGATGCGGGCTTTGGCCTAAGCCTGGACCTGTGTTAGAGGGAGCTTGCAGCCCTGGCAGCTGTGACAGCTACCTGGTCACTCAGGGAGTGGAGGGAAGCACACATGAATGTGTGCTCACTATGTGGCTCCTTCTCTAGCAATTGGCTACAGAAACCTGCATGTTTCGTGATAGAAAAACCCTGGTGGGCCCCACAGATTGAGGTACACCAGAAATGGAAATGGGCATAGATAAGAGTATCTGAGAAAATAATCAAAAAGGATGACAGAATCTGAGAAATAATAAAATTATCTGGGAAATATTCAAAAGGATGACAGAATCTTTCCCTAATACACTAAGGCATCTTGTCCAGGTAAAGTATGACTTGATATTTATATTGTGATTTTCATGCAGAAAGAACCGCCCCAAAATCCCACTAAATTAATCTGTGAGCTATGTTAAGACAAGTCTTCCCTTAGAAATGGAAAAATAAATACAATTGATACATGTGAAATTCACCTCACTGACATCAGTCATTAGGAAAATTTAAAAGAGTAATCTGTTATAAATCTAATCTGAGTAAGTCAGGTTGGCTGTTTGTGGTCAGAAGAAAAATACAGGCAACCCCAAAGCAGCCCCTTATATCTAAGGCTGAGGGTTTGGGTCACCTTCCAGAGGTGTCTCTCTCTAGAGTGGGTAGAGAGATAGTCCAGACAGCTGACTTTTTCTAAATCTCTGTAAGGGAACTAAAATTCAGTAAGATTCATCCCCATTTCACTGCTCTCCTTCGGTGGCTAGCTGGCATCTGCACTGAAATGAATCTCACCTTACCCAATTTCAAATAAGCAGACAAGAATACAGCAAATTCTAGGCCCTACTGTTTGTACAAGGTTTTCATCCTGAGAGCTATTTCTTCAGTTTTGATAATCAGTCTCTAAGGATTTTTAAGAGAGGCGCTGTAAATAGCTGTAGAGTTACGCACTGTTCTTCTTCAGTAGGTAATTTAAAATGAGTTTTTACTTCTTCCCACACAGATGACAAAATTCTTAGTCACATTCAGGTCATATTCATCTTTTTAATTTTAATTCCATGGCAGTCATGACTCCCAAAAAGGGAATCCAGTTGGTTCTTGTTTTCATCATAATTTTTTGAAGAAAGCAAGCTCACCAGCTTCACTTAAGTTACTCAACTAGAATAAATCATATAACACAAGGGAGCAATCTGACGCATAGGGATTTCCCACCATCATTTCTTATTGTAAAGTTTTAGTCAATAGAAATACTAAATAATGTAACTAGTAATACAAAGATCATTCAGCATGTTAGAAGACTGAACTTCCTTTTCCCTCAGATACCCTCTCCACTCAGGTTTGCTCTGCTATTCCTGTGAGTCCCTAAAAGATGCTTTAAACCTGTTGGCTTCAGCTGGCTGACACCTGAGTAGTAAAAGGTTCTTGTGAGAACTGATTGTAATGCTATACGTTAGAGGCCATAGACATTAAGAAATTGATCAATTATGCCAATTGTAAAGTGTCTGTGTATTGTGCATTAAACATTATTTCACCATCTTTATTAAAATTACCCCAGTTACCAATTTCTGTCAGTAGTGTTACTCAGAAGGTGTGTAAATACTGATTTCTTCATGCAGTCTGTTCATGTTAATTTTCAGGTCTGTGCCAAAGTTCATGAAGAGGATGAAAGTCCCTGACTACAAGGACAAGAACGTCTTTGGTGTGCCCCTGATAGTTCACGTTCAGAGAACGGGGCAGCCTCTTCCCCAGAGCATACAACAAGCCCTGCGCTACCTACGGAGCAACTGTCTAGACCAGGTAGGAACTTTACTCCATGGACTTGTTGGTTTTTTCTGAAAAGCCACTTTAAGCAAGCAGCAGTGACCATTTTTGTAGTAAGTGCCAGGATTATTTGAAAATTATAATCTCTCATGTTGGGCCTTGATCTCCTCTGGTGATTTGATATTTGGTGCCAAAACTAACAGTTTTCCATTTTGAGATTTGTATCCAGCTAATCTGTTGAAATTCTGTAGCTGTAATAGTCCTGCAGATTTGTATACCACACTCTGCTTCAAAGAACATTTTGAGATCTTCGTGTATATTGAATGAAACCTGGGAAGGGATCAGGACTCCCCACTTCTACATGTATTGGTACTGCTTATGCTTGACTGTTGCCATTGAGGGTTAACTGCATTCACCATTTCACAAGATATGGTACAAAAGGTTTTATTTACTTAGCAAAGACAGAAAAGTGCAAGAATGGAGAGCAAACTCAGCAAAATATTCCAAGTATTCTGTTGACAGAGTCAGATATATCCAGATAGTTAGGTCAGCAGGGGTTCAATGCCAAAGCCATTATGGTACATTGCCTTTTATAGTGTTCTTAGCTACAACAAGACAGCTGGGACACCCTCATGCTCAAAGCATTTCAGATTTTTTTTATTCCCTCTAGCTACAGAGGGACATACTTATCATATTTTTACTGTTCTTCCCCTAAGGATGAGGATGTATATTTTTATGAACAGAGGACTTTGAGAAAACCCCCAGCTGTTTATGTTCAGTCCTCTACTGTTACTGACCTCATGTGATATGACCTCTTTCATAACTGCCTTTAGATAGTTGTAAGTTCGAAAGGAGCAACCAACATTTTGCTCTGCAGACTTCGCTGCTTTCCTAGCTCTGAGCACACAAAAAGGGTGGAATTAGTCTATTCTGAGTCTTCACATTTTCTAGTCACTATTCTAGTTGCTGTTCAGGTTTTTTGTTGGGTGACAGTCATCTTCCCCAAAACTGAAATTTGAAAATTACAGGTGTTCCAGTGAATCACAGCCATTTCCCTTTGCAGCCAAGTGGGAAAGGCACAAGTCCTTCCTATCATTCTCTCTGTAAAGGGATCCTGTAGTAGTCAGACCTTGACATCTAACTCCATAGTGTCAAAAGTTAGGTGAGATGAGTTCTGCCAGCCATGTGCAGTGTGGGAGTTGACAGGTGGGATGAACAGCTTGTCAGAAATTTATTAAGACAGGATGAAAGGGAAAGATGCATAGAGACAAGTAGAAGTGATATATTCAGGAGCTAACAGGCCTGGTTACCACAGTGCTCAGCTGTGTACTGCGCTGGGAAAGCCAGTGTAGGAAGAAAAGTGATGCAGCAAGCCTGGAATTAGTGATGAGATTGGAGGAGGAGATGCCCAAACAAGAGGAACAGGAGATGTAAGGATAGGGATGGGCTTGTCAGCTAAGAAGCAGAACAAGAGGAAGAAAGAGAAGAGAGAGGATTAATTGGGGAGAATGTAAAGGTAGTATAAAGGAGAAAGAAAAAGCTCTTGAGAGATTTGAAGCAATTATAATATGCTGGAAGCCTCAGACAACTATCTGCTCCATTTGTGTTTACAGGCTGGGAAGCATCAGAGCTCTGTGAATTTCAGTTCAGCTTTGGTTTCTTCTTGGAGTAAAATTGGGGAAATACTGATTTAAAAAAAAAGAAGGAGGAGAAATACAAATTGGGATCCTTTAAAATATCTTTCCACCAAAAACCTTTCTAGACAAAAACATTTCAGGCAGTTCAGCTCCTCTGCTTTATCCCTTTGTTCCCATTTAATTCAAAGTCTGCTAATGCCTGGGCAGAGACCTGGATAACCTCAGCATCCTGCTTATGTCTCTCCTGTGCACTGTAGAAGGTGGACTAGAGTTCAGCACAGGTGTCAGAGCTTCTGCTGCACACACTTGGTAAAGTTGAGGTTGCTCTAAACCATTGCAAGGTCTGGCTCCTGCCTGAAATCCCTAAACTTGCATGAGGAGCCCCACAATTACTTGTAGGATTTGTAATTCAGTTTCACTTCATGAAATAAAAACTGCTTTGTCTTTTCCAACTGCATCTTTATTTCTGTCATGCATTATACGGCTGCTTGTAGGGAAGATGATCCACGCAGCATGAGGATAGTAGAGAGATTGGGGCAGACTAACCTCTGCGTTTTTAGTCCCTTTTTATTTACAGAACAAGTCTGTAATAAGGCATAACAGAGGCTAAAACATCTCTTTTTACTGAGTGAAGAACTCTGATTAATTTTTAATTTTTTCCATTAATAACAAAAAAAAGGAAATAGGAGTTTGGATAAATGTCTTTAAACAGAGATCAAGAGTAGTGGAACGATGTGCAGCTGGAGATTGCATGGGTGAGATGTGGCATCTGACCTCTCAAAGCAGACTTAGCTAGAAGTTTCTAATGGTTGTTTACACCAGCAAGGACACTTTCCATCAAAAGGAGAGAACTGAGCCTCAGGTCTGACGCTTATCTACCACAGGCCAAAACTTTATTTTTTGGACAGAATTAGCAACTCTGTCTTCTTCATCTTCAGGACACACATTTCTAAGAGAAAAAGGCATATAAAAAGAAGAGAAAGGGAAAGGGAAAAGGAGATGAAAAGAGATGGATGCTCTTTCTTGTATGCTCTTGACAGGAAGAAGAGTAGAGTTTCACTTGGAATATAAATACAGAACACAGGGCACACTTCAGTTCTCTACTTCCTGTACATAAATTTAGCTCTCAAGTGACACTAAATTCATCAATAAGAAGACCTAGAAGAGCTGCCTCACAGCCAGTCTGGTGCAGCGGTTCATCTTCCTTTAATTAATTAATTAAATAAATATACCTCCTCACAGAGCTGTGATCTATGTAATTAGTACCATGAATGTGCAAGTTAACCAAAATCCTAAATGTCCTCCAGGTGAGCATGGGAGGTGTTTTAGAGAGAGAAGGGTCCTCTGTGAACTCTGTGCTGTTTCTTACTCAGAAGTAAGGGGGAGAAGGCCAGAAGGCATTATTCCCTTGCCTTTACTGTTTGTTGATGGTCTATGCCATGCAGGATCACCAGCAAGACATCAATCACAGAGGAAAAGGGGTCTATAATTCCCAGCTGGAAATGTGCCTTTCCCATAGGTCTCTCTCAATGTTTCACCTTTTTCCTGCAAAACTGATGGGAAAACAGCGTTAACACTTCCCAAATGAAACACTGTAAACTCACCTGGGAATAAATAATGTGGTTGAGGCCCAGGAATTCAGCCCAGGGGGAATTCCGTGGGTGGAGAAGGACAAGAAAGGGCAGCCCTGCCTTGAAGGCATCATTTGAAGAATTACCACTTCCTTTCAAAATAGAAAGCAAACAGGATAAAAATGTATCTTAGTGACACTGCACAAGTAATCTCTCTGTGGCCCCCACTCTTGAACTGTACTTTTCAGTGGGATTTGAGAGAACTCTTGGAATCAGAGAGCATGAAAGGGAAAAAATACATTTAATCTTGATTTTAAAGCTCTACCAGGAAGTACTAATCTTTTGCCACAGCATTTATTACTTAGCTAAGCATAATATTTTCTTGTTAGTCTTCAAAATATATACCCAAATAAACATGAGGGGCCAGATTCTCAGCTGGAGTAAATCAACAGACAGTCACCCAAGCCAAGCAAGCCAGGCTGATTTATATCAGAAGAGTATCTTGCTTAAACTTCTCAGGCAGCAGATAAACCACAAGGCACTCTGAACCCTCTCTCTAGGATAGGACAGAGAGCAGCAGCATTATTAACCCCTGCAATCCTTCTGTGGCAGCCTGTGTTTGCCTGCAAGCCTTGTAGGACCATCAATTGCATTTGCACATTTCCCTCCTTCTCGCCTACAGTGAAATAAGCAACCCAAGCTTTGCTCATGATCCAAGTCCCCACATATAAATGCATATACCAGATATATATTCTTCAAGTGCCATTTTCCCTTTTACCCAACTCAATATGGAACGTTTTTAGGTGGGTCTGTTTCGGAAATCTGGAGTGAAATCCCGAATCCAGGCCCTGCGTCAGATGAACGAGAGCTCCCCAGAAAACGTCAGCTATGAAGACCAGTCCGCATACGATGTGGCTGACATGGTCAAGCAATTCTTCAGAGACTTGCCAGAACCTCTCCTCACAAGTAAACTAGGAGAGACTTTTCTGCACATCTATCAATGTAAGTTGATATTTCTACATATTTCTATTATTATATAGTAATATACTGTTAATAATGTTGGTGTGTTAACACTTGATAACTTTCTTTCTGCTGACCTTTGAGATATAAAAAAACCCTCTGCCTTCAAAATCTTTCACTAACAGGTCTTTAGGACTACCTAAACATTTCAGTGTCAAATTTAATGGAAAGGCAATGTTCATACCAGCCTCACAATCAGAAAGAAGACAGAAGAACATGCTGCTGGACACAAAAAGCATGAAGACTCATATTTTTGTCAGATTTCATTCAGCTGTGTGCCCATTTTATGCTCTTATATCTCAATATAAGTGAGTCTTCTGGACATGCAGAAGTGGTATTTGACCATGAGAATATGTGTCTCTGTAGTCCCTTTCCTTGCTGTGACTTTTGATTATTTGTTTTTTCTTTATAGTCAATAAAATGTACATGCAAAAGCAAGCTGCCTTCATGTAGATCATAAGCTCTATGTAAAGAACTCATAGAGAAAGAAAGATTTCTTCTTTTCTTTCCAGCATACGCAATCTTCAGAAAAATCTGAGACTCAGATGCATCAGAGTAATGAAAGTCCCTGTGAATCAGGAAATGACTGTGTGTATCTTCTCCAGACTGAGGGAGAAATAAACAGTGAGGAAAACATTGAACAGCCAGAGGCATTGGAGGTTTTTTCCTGACAATGTCCATTATGAGGGCCAGTCAGCCAGCACTCTGGCAGATGCAGCCAGCCTAAGCCAAATAATTGGAAGCACTAAAGAGAAGTGTGTCTAGTCTTTTCACTTGCAGACATTTCAGCTGCCAAAACAATAGAAAGCCATTTTAAAACACTGTGTAATCCCAGTGCTTAAGAATCTCAGATACTTCCGTTGCTTCCCTTTACTGTAAAAATCTGTCTGTGGCATGCAGTCACTAATGAATTTACCACCACAGTGTCTGTAGCTGGTAGAGAACGCTGGGATTCTGCATGTGAGAGACAGCACTGCAAATAAATTCAGTGGGTTTGGCTGTACGCGATGTCTTGGGACATAAGTTAACTGCAAAAGTTGGTGCCTAGCCCTGGACCATCATTTCCCCTTCTTTCCTGCTCACAAGTTGTCTGCCTGCACACACGCTAATAAGCTTGTTGAGAAAAGCAACAGGAATTCTGGCCGCCAATAAAATGGCAGTCACAACCATTTCCATGGGGAGGTGGCCAAGGAGAAGATTATCCATTGCAGGGACATGTTCTGCATATCCTTGGAAACAAATCACCACTAAAGTATTGCTTGACGAAAACTGGGGATGTCTCTTTGCACAGAAGAGACTGCAAGTAAATTACCCCCTTGCTACAGGAGGAGAGAGATGGCAGATCCCAGTGGCATCAGCATAAGCAGGTCTGTAGCCAGAAGGGCTCCCTTTTTCCAAGACATGAGGATGATTGAGGAAACATTGATACCAGCCAACAAAAAATGTAAAAAGAGGCATGGGCTGACTCTGTAATGTCTGCATGGTGCTGCAGTGGGAAATCTGAAGAAATTCTCTTTCTATTGGTCAGACGGGGAAATGATGAGCTAAGATTGCTAAAATGCACCAGGAGTTAAAGGATTTCAGAAAGACTTGAGGATGAGTGTCTTTAAACTAAAGTAGGAACAAGAAAAGATGGGCTCTGTAGACACCAGAAAAAATTGTTTGGATTAAGAATGAGTAGCAAGGTTTTTTTTTTTTTCCATGTGACCAACAACAAGTATATATTTTCGTTTTAGAGAGTACTGACAAAACTCCTTTCATAGAAAGAAAAAATGTTGAAAATTTCTGAGATATTAATTATATTTCATAACATCTGCCATTAAACTAATCTGTAGCTGAGATTTTTTCTTGCCCTGTGTTCTGTTTAACAAATTGTTAATGAGAAGCTAGGAAGAATTTTTCCTCTCCTAGTGTACTGGCAGAAGACTTCTGATTTTCTGGGACTCACTGAAGATATTTTTCATATATCCAAGACCTTTTTCATATATCCAGAATGGCTTGAATTGCTGTAACACATGGGATTTTGGATGAGATTATTAATGTAGTAGTCTATATGGAATAGCATTGGTGAAACTTTCTCCATTTTCTTAAAACTCTCAGTTGATTAATGTTTACCTGTGACTTGAAGCACTGGCTGATCTTCTGCTCCATGTACCAGACCCATCAGAGCAACAATAAAGAGGAGGGAGGGATTACCAGGAGGTGTTGTGGGAAGAAAAGACACATTGAATGGATTTAGCAAAGGCTCCTCTGACTTCTCAGAAAAACCTGGCCTTGCTGCTTTCAGAAACTTTAGAAGTATTGAGCTGTGTTCATTTTGTCTTTCATGTCTGAAAACTTTTTAAATAAAGTGCTCATACAAGGTTAGCAGTCAAATCTTAAAAGCTGGCTGTTCCCTCTACTGTAAATCTGCTTTTGTTGTTCTTCCACTCAATTATGGAGAGTATGTAATACCCAGAGGAGGACTCCAAGTCCAAACTGAGAGAACTTATGGTGGTTTTAGAAATGAATCTGAGGTGCTATTTAAACATTTCCACTACTTCTTTCATCAAACTCTTCTACGGTTTAGGACACAAATCTAAGTATTCCCTAAGCTTCCCTAAGACTTAAACTTCTGTCTTGCCAGGGGACAAAGAAAACCTGAAAAATACCATTTAAAGCTATGAGTACTGAGTACTATTATCCCTTCAGAAACTTCAAATGAAGTCTAGTGCCTTTCTTGGGAGCAGCCCATCAAACAAACAGAGAAAAGCCAAACACTAGTGAGGGAAGCTGTGCTTCATGGAGGAGAAAAATCCATCTCTCCAGAAGCCAGTTGATCTTTTCCCCTTGGTCTCCTGTCATCTGCCTCTTCACAAAGCCGTTGCTAAGGTCCAGAAAGACCTCTGTGAGTCGAGCATTAACCTAACACTGCCAGGTCCACCACTGAAACACATCCCTAAGCACCACATCTGGGCGGGTTTTGAGCACTTGAGGGGACTGTGAATGTCTGTGTAACTTTATCTTTCTGGCTCCTTACCTGATCTTACAACTGACCCCCTGGATGGGCCTTGCTCCTTCCCAGACGTGCCCAAGGAGCAGCGGCTGCAGGCGGTGCAGGCAGCAATCATGCTCATGGCCGACGAGAACAGGGAGGTTCTGCAGACTCTGCTCTGCTTCCTCAGCGACGTCACCTCCGTGGAGGAAAATCAGATGACTCCCATGAACATCGCTGTTTGTCTGGCCCCTTCCCTCTTCCATCTCAATATAGTGAAGAAAGAAAGCTCACCAAGGTATGTTTCTTCTCAGCATTATAAATAGTCACATCCTGAATACGGAATGATACTTTCAGTGGTATGCAGGAAAAATTTTCCAAGCCATCTGCTTTCCAGCACACATTAAACAGGGCATGGCTTCAGTAAGAGGGGAAAACCCCTGCTGCAGAGCCAGAAGCACACTTGTTTTCACAAGCCCAGCAGGCATTTCTGGTTGTCTGTTGTGGATATGCGGTGCCTGCTTTCCATGTGGAATTTTCAATGGGGCACTAGTGAGTTTTGCATGAGTAATGCTGAATGTTCTGTAAAGGAAAAGGGGTTGATTTTGCTCTGATTGAAGTCAAAGATTAACCATGTTCTAAAGGATTTTGATATGTAGATTTTCAATGAGTGTTTTTTTTTTCACTTTCAGTTTACTGTCTACATTCTGTCATTCAGGAAACAGGGTTTATTTCAGGCCACATTAAATTTGTAACATGGTGATTGTAGTCTAAACAGGGCATAGCCCGGCTAAACATTAGTGGTCTGTCTTGACTTTTTTCCCTCCCATCTGGTTCAGAATACACTGAGATTCTTGGTCAAGTACATGTATAACCTGTGTCTGAATAAGGGCTTTAAGAAGTAACAATGTAAACCACTTTACATCATGTCTGTTAAAAATCAATTTCAAAATGTACAACACATCGTGGAGGATATGTGTAACCTTTCCTGCTTTTACTTTTGGCTGAGCAACATTTTAGGTAAACATTTTTCCCTTAAAAAAGTCCCAACAGTTTGAGCAGTCTTGTTGATAAATAGAAACTAAAGATAGGGGTTTTTTTTCTCTGATGTTGGGAGCATCCTGCTGGTTTTTGCTTTCATATTAAAAAGAGTCAGCTCTTTACCTGAGATACTGAATTCAATTACAGAGTAATACAGAAAAAATATGCAACAGGGAAGCCAGATCAGAAGGACCTCAGTGAAAACCTGGCAGCTACTCAGGGACTTGCTCACATGATAATGGAATGCAACAAACTTTTTGAGGTGAGTGAGAGACTCAAACAGCATTATTCATGGCTACATAATGCAGCAGCCTTTGAAGTATTTATGTTTATCCTTATATTTTCTGTCTTGTGTTAGCTCAGAGATGGGTGCCTCGCTTATTTGTAAACTTGCTTCATCCAAAGTTTATGTATATCATTTCTTTATGGTGGTTCCCTTTTAATATTCAAAAGATGCAGGGTAATTATTCTGTGACAGTTTTCAACCCAAACCGCTGGATTAGAAAATTTTAGACTAATTCAAATCAAAATCTGCTAGTGTAAAATTTTATTACAATGCTTTTAAGGCCTCAATTAAAATCTATTCATTTTAAAAATAATTGCCTATACACTTTATTTCTGTGTGTCATGCAATAAAGTAAAAATCACATAGAGACCTGCAGTCAATCCTGAGCTACTTACACTGCAGCTGGATGAGAGCAAATGCTCATATCTTCTTTCCCCAGAAGCACAAGGCAATATTTCAGAGGGCTAAAGGAATAACAGTAGTGTATTGACATCCAGTTGATCAATCTAACACAGTTCTGCCTGAGTAGTGCTGTTCAGAGCCATGGGCTGTTTCATTAGACTACTTAGGTGTTTCATCTTGCATAAAGACAGAAATTGGTGTGCATTTTACAGATCCTAAGTTCATACAATTGGATGCTGAATGGTCCATCAGCCTAGAAACATGTTGCCTTAAGGAAAAGTTCTCAGCAGGAGATTTTCCCTGTGTGTTTTCCCTCCCTTCTGTGGCACAGGTCCCACATGAGATGATCACCCAATCCCGAAACTCCTATGTCGATGCAGAAGTGCATTCTCCTACCCTGGATGAGCTTGGGAAACAAGTGGATGAGGAAGGAGGGAACTATCAGATGTACCTGGAAACTCTCATGCAGAATCTCCAGAAAGAAGCAAAAGAGAAATTCAAAGGATGGGTCACATGTTCCAGTGTAGAGAACACAGAACTCGCCTACAAAAAGGTAATTTGAGAAGACATGAAAGAAACAGTAAAGAAACTAAAGCAAAATGCAGCTCAGCTATGGGACACCCTGGCATGTTGCATGGCAAAACTCACACCCTTCTTTCTGGCAAGGCACTCTTTTTTTATTATTATTTTTTTAAATATTACTAAAAGCAGTTAAAATGTAATGTAATAGTGATTCAAATGTGAGATTCCAGAAAAAGGCACAGAAAGCAAGCTGGGGTCTCCAAAATAGATCAAGTAAGGGACACAGCAAACAACACAACCAGAGAGAGTGAGCTGAAATGTTAAACAACAGAGAACATTTCCTGGGCAAGTTCTTAGACTGGAGGACAGGAGAAGTTTCTGACCAGTTCTTGATGTATGCTAACAGTTTAGAGAACACAGCTACTGCAGCTTTTATTAACATTTCTGAATCTGTTTTGGACTCCATCACTTCTTCAGAGAAAGCCAGACCACTGTAGTGAGGCAGAGGGTGCTGCAGGGTCCCTGCAGAGAGTGGAGTTCAGGGCTGCTGGAAACTGAATAGCAAAGCAGAGGTCTTCAAACCAGCAGCAGCTAGCAAGAGGAAGGGGTGAATTAGGGGTAGGTGACACTAATTAGGCCGGAAAAGAGCACTGGGAGGAATGTGAGATCTGGATGGTGAGGGGGCAGGAGGCAGCATTACCCCAGCTTGGGAAAATGCAACCCCTCTGTCAGGGCAAAGAAATTGCAGTTACTGTGGTTTGTGGCCAGCTTCTGTGAGTGACCTCTCCAGGGAGAGACCGTGAGAGGTTGGGGAGAGAGTAACAGGGCTCAGGTGGGAGCAGGATGTGGGACATGGGAGAGAGGGAATAGAGGCCTTTACAGCTGGTGGTCAAGGACCTGTAAGACTACAGAGAGAACTGGAGTCTGGGGCTTCAGGGCAGGGGAAATGGGGAACTGAAAGCTTTGGGGAGAAAGAATTACGACATAAAATAACTTAAGGTGGGAAGTGAGGAAGGTGAGTTTCTGGGGAAACAATCCTGGGTCTGTGGGAGGTACTAGAGGTTTCCGAAGTATGCACTGGTATATGAGAACGGTAGGGTAGGGAAGGGTTACAGAAGCAGGGCTTGAAAGATCCAGTGATTAGTTAACTTGTTTACTGCCTGAAATAGGACCACTAGAACTATGCAGAAAAGCTGTGTGTGTACAATGTAGGATATTCACCTTGTGCATAGCCCAGCACTTTCTGCTCCCTTTACTGTAAGCTGTGGAGGTGTTCCAAGAAACAGGATCTGTGAGCAAGGAGGAGTTAGCAAATAGTCTGTGCTCTTTGAAAGGTGTTTTTCCAACACTTTCCTTGCAGCTATTTTGAAGAGCAAACATCTGTGTACCTGACATATAACTGAATAAATACATGTTCTGCTCCCCCAAAATTAACCAGGAGGGTAAATGGACCCTCAGTCCCAGGTAGCGTATAAGATTGCCTAAGGCAGTTGCTTTATTTCAGCCCAGGGTTTCAGTCTCTCCTCTCTTTTTACTTCTGCAGACACATATTCATCTTTCCACTTAGGATGTCTGGACTTGGAAAAGTGTCTGTCACACCAGGAGTAATGCAGAACCTCTCTGGCCCTATGGGAACTAGTCCAGATATATTCTATTGTGAGAGAAGAGTAATGAATCACTTCAGATTTCCACCCAGGACTAGTAGAGCAGCAGCAATAGCAATAATAGTAATGATTAGCAGGGATATATGAGTGCTCTTAAGCTGAAGTCAGACACACACATTGAGGTTTTGTCCTCAGTTATCATCTGCTGAACATAGGCATGTAAACTATCAGGGTTTGTGCTCTTGGTCACTTCACTCCAGGTTGGGGATGGGAACCCACTAAGGCTTTGGAAAGCCTCAGTTGAAGTTGAAGCCCCTCCATCAGTTGTCCTGAACCGGGTGCTGAGAGAACGTCACCTTTGGGACGAGGATTTCTTGCAGTGGAAGGTGGTTGAGAGCCTGGACAAGCAGACGGAAGTTTACCAGTATGTTTTGAACACCATGGCTCCTCACCCTGTCCGAGACTTTGTTGTTCTCAGGTAAGCTGAGGGCGGTTCTCTGGTACCTTTGCCTCCTGCAGTGAATAAAAAAGATCTGGACTTATCTCAGCCTTCACATCTGTGTAATTGCTCTCCAGGAACTCTACTTCTGGGCAGCAGTGTTGATTTCTCAAACTGAATTAGTCATACACCTACAGCATGCTGACCTTTTCTCTGATGTAATTTGAGCAGCACATACTCCTGAGGCCATAAATATAATTTCTTCCTCAAAACAGATGTCTGATAATAGCTGCTCTTCTCTCTTAGCTTTGTTTGTTGTCAAAACAGTGCAAATAGAACCCAATTGTTTTTTACGCTGCTTTTGCTGTTCTCTGGGGAACGTTTGATGTTTAAGAGCCAAATGTTTGGAAGAGAAGATAGTGGTGCTTTTAAGCTAAGGCTGTTATACAGTGCCTATATAACTTATTATCTTAAATTTTCAGTTGGAGTCTTTTTAAACGAAGAAACGCTGATCCATAAATATCCTAGTGTGGAAATGAACAGAAAGAGGCAGTAGATTTGTATTCTCTCTTCCAGGGGATGACTTCTCTCAAATAAATGTATAGCTGTGTATCAATATTCCACATTCAATCCCAGTTCTACCATTGTGTATCTGCTTGTACAGAACAGTACAAAAAAAAAAAACCCTTTTCTGTCTTTGAAATCTGGGCCTTTGCTTGCTAGGAGCTATTGAGGAGCTGCTGACTTATTTCACTTACAGGGTCAGTCCTACAGTTACTTATTTTAGGATGATTTTGTGCATTCCTGCTTTTGGTCCCTGCTTTCTTTGATTGAAATGATGTGCCAGAGAAATACAAAGCAATTTTGACAACGAAGTGGTACAGGGAGTCAGAATTGTATTAAAGGGAACGAAGATTGTAGATAAAAGATGAGCCAAATAAAATATAATTACGAAAGTACATCCCTTTTATGAACTTCAGTAGTCTCTTAAAGGATGACAACATGCAGATATTGTTGGCATAAGGGAAGAATTATTGGAACTCTTAGGGAAAGATTTAAAAAATGCTTTCTGTAACCAATTCTCCCATTACTCTATTTCCTTTGCCTTACCACAGTATACTGGGCTAAATTAAATATTTTATAATCAAATATATATAATATATTTTATATAATCATATATCTATCATTATTTTATAAGTAATCTTTGTATATAATGTCATTAGCTTGAGCCAGTGATAAATTTGGGCCTCTGCATGGCACGAAGAAGATGGTCTGTGAGCGGCAGGGAGGTTTTGATGACCGCAATTTGGTCCTCTCATTTGCCACTTAGTTCACTATTAGGTTTCGTGGTGGTTTATGTTCTTTAAAGACCTGCTGTGCAGTCACATCAGTTAAAGGAAAATCCTGCTATCGAGTTCTCATTCTTTTCACTGACCCAGGCAGAATGACCCCCAAGGACTGAGATGCATCTCATAAAAATGAATCCTGGTGGGTTCTTAAGGGCTGAAAACAGCTATCAGGCAGATCTGTCAGGTTCTGTTGTTTATCTCTTTTGATTGATATCATTATGTCTAGAGCAAGGTTACCCAGCAATACCACAGTCAATTTGATACCGTATGATTGGTGGGAAGTGAACAGTGAAATTATAATACACCTCTGGGGACATGAATAAATATCTTTTAACAGATGGCAATTTTCTCCTTCTCAGTCAAACTTTGGGCTGTGAAAGGATCAACTTAGTTGTTCCCTTTTTTTTCAATGTGACAGTCATAACAAGGGGATTAGGCTCCCTAGAGAAGACTTTGATGGTAAGATGGGAAGAGAAATGTTTCATATGCCTGGGATATAACACAGGTCTCAGCTGCCCTGCACAGGCATCACTTCTATTAAAGAATCCACAAGTGTTTCATGTTCATTAAGTATGACAGCATTTTGGTGAGTTAAGTGCCATGCCTGATTTACTACTGTAAAGTATTTAAAGAACTACTGAAACTAGCCTAAATCCATATGACTGGGAACAGGAAACTTAAGTCTTCTGAAATCTTTGGGATAGAGAACTTTCCACTTCCCAAATGGCCCAGGGAGTGCTGGGTAGTTACCAAAATGATGTGGGCACATCTAAACACTGTGCAGGCACTTGCAGGAGGTGGTTCAGCATTTCTCATACTGGATCTCAGCTGTGATTTCCTTCTCCCATATGTTTCATCTACTAAGATAGCTCATCATTTTATTAATGCCCAGGCACATAAAACCTTCTGGTCAGTATCTTCCTGTAGTGTCTTGAATAACGGCTCCGTTTCATGTAAGAAAAATGCAGAATGTTAAAATTATCTGCTGAAGTCCAAACTTCAATAGTCCTTGAAAGCAGCTTACCTGCTAAAATATGATACTTCCCAAGGAAGTATAACCCCTGTCTCAGACAATCCACAGCAAGATGATGCATGTTGCACAGCACAGTGGGAATTTCTTATTTCTTCCCACAGCATAGGAAAGAGCGCATACCTATCCTCTGAGATTCAGTGCAGATGAGAAAGATGTGAGACACAAGGGTATGTAGAGAATGCTTACAGAACAAAATAAAAATATTAAGTATTAAAATCTAGGAATCTTAAACCTGGTGGAAAACTTCTCCAGCATGTAAGAGAGGCTAGAAACATGGGAGAGGCAAGAAATGGAAGGATGTTTTGTTTTTAATTCAGACAACCTTGAAACATATTCTAGGTATCCTCATACCCTCATATTAGTGAGGATTTCTGTTGTACTGAACTGCATTTTTTGTTCTGTAAGCTTGCCTGAGTGCAATGCACAGTTTCAGCTTTTGCTGGATGCCTTATCCTTGCTCTTTCTCCTTTCCAAAACTTTTGTCCAACTGAAAAAAAGCCCAGTCATGCCCTAGAATACTAATGGTTACAAAACACACCTCTGGAGAAGCAAAATTTCTCCACCTGGAGCCACACAGATGGGTGGCCATTCCACATGGCCATGAAACTCCACCAGGAATTCCTAGGACAGTCCACTGGCATTGCAGGCAACAAGGATAGGCAGACAAGCAAACTGTAACTTCAATTCTGGTTCTTACTCATGTGCCCAAAAGTTTCATCGCTAATGTGATTCCATCTTGCATCCGCTCCTGCAGGACGTGGAGGACGGATTTGCCCAAGGGGATGTGCATGCTGGTTGCCATCTCTGTGGAGCATGAAGAGGCTCCTCTCATGGGAGCTGTGCGAGCCATCGTGATGGACTCCCAGTACTTGATAGAGCCCTGCGGCTCGGGGAAAGCCAGGCTGACCCACATCTGCAGGATTGACCTAAAGTAAGTATCCCACCTGCACAAAGTAATGTCCACTCAGCAGGACAAAACCCTCAAGCTCAGATGCTGGGAACAGAGGGCATTGTTAGGGTAGCTTTGCTGCTTCAGAGTTTTCCTGCAGTTTTTTCTCAACTCAGTGCCTACCACTGCTAAATGTGATCTTAGAAACATAATCTATTTATTTGATTACTGCAAGGGAGAACTTCAGAGTACACTTAAAAAGACAAGTATTTGGATCTCCACCACCACCATGGGCAGTGTGGAGCAGGAAGCATGGCAAGCACATTTCTGTGGGGCATGTTTCTTGAGTATTTGAGTTTCTCACTAATTCTCTTTTCATTTCTTCAGAGGACATTCCCCAGAGTGGTACAACAAAGGCTTTGGACATCTGTGTGCAGCAGAAGTTGCCAGGATCAGAAACTCATTTCAACCTCTGATTGCTGAGGGACCAGAAACAAAAATCTGATTAAGTGTTCCTGGGAGCATGTGAGCATAAATCAGGGTCTGGCAGAGAACAGGAATACTGAAAGCAAAGGTCTGATTTAAGCTGATTTAAATCTGACCAGACCTGGGTTACAAAGCTGAAAAAGGAATTTTATAGGAAAGTTCTTTTATTCTGGAGACTTCACCTTCCCCCCTCCCCCACATCCACTCTGTATTAATTTTGATCATTGAACTAAACATTTCTTCAGAGAGCTTTTATTACTTTAAAAACAGATTATTGCCATTACTTGTATGTTACATAACTCTGGTATTTAAAGGCTTCTAAGAAGCATATTTTAATTGTAAATAAATAATGTACAGTATGTATATATTTATCTATATTCTATCTATATATATATATGTATATGTATAAATTAATTATTTTGTATATAACTCAGTGCAAATCACTTGCATCAGTCGGAACTTAAGTGGACTTGTCACTTATTTCTTAGTGTGTCACTGCTACATAAGCTGTGTTTGCTGTTATCAGAGCTACCAGGCCTAATTTGTGTGATAAAAAATGCCTGTTCCCAAATATGTTTTGTGTTTGTGTGTGCTATGAGAAGGTACCTATAAATAGATGTAGGAAGAATTACAGGAACTAAGGAAGAAGGAGGTTACAGTGCACTTAAAAACAATGAGGAGGGAATAAGTCTCCCCAAATAAAATACATGGAGATGCATCTGAGTCATTGTGGAGGCCATTTATGTTCAGCTGCAGAATTGTGACTTTTAGTAGAAGGTGTTGAAAACTTACCTGTTGCCTTAAATGACTGGTGTCTGTCAGTAGAGAACCTCACTGTGTGCAGTGTTCCAGGTAACAGCTCATCCTTGGACAGCACAAAGTAATGCTGTGTGTCCTGAGATGGCTGAAATCAGACTGGTAACTTATTAAGCTGTAAATTAATTATTTTTGTAAGCATTTTTTCTAGGTTCTAAGTGTTTCTGTGTTCTTTCCTTCTCCCGTAGAGATGGCTAATCCAAAGCAGGTTTTCCACATGCAGTGGAAACAAAGACATGCAGATGAACACCATGCCTTTTAATATTCTTAGTATACAAATAACTATGCTTTTTTAAAATTTTAAACACATCTTGGAGATTTAAAAGACTAAATAAATGCTATTCTTGGAAAGATTGCTTTTATAGTAACAGCAAGCATTTTCATCTTATATTGCACTGTTCTGCATGATTCCACCTCTGTAGGCATTGATGGGAACAGGATTAGGACTATGAGGAGTAGGAGCCATTTAAGCCTATTATATAATTTCATTTTCAGGGACCTATTATTTTGCTAATGGAAGAATGCTTTAAAAGTAGTAATAATAATTTGTCAACATTGCCTTTTAGGCAGGGTTCCATTTTGTTTTTAACTAACCTACGACCAAAATGTTATTACATCTATGACTCAATAACAATGTACAAGCATGATAATACTGTTCTTCATTAATCGTATTTGTTCACTTAGAATTCATTTATTGCTGCATAAACCAGCAAAATCACTCACAGCCGGTGTTTCAGCTCAGTCCTTCCAACAACATCCAGAAAGATTAGTATGAGGTTGATTAAGCAGGATGCATTTCCTATCTGAAGCTACAGCTTTGTGCCCCGATTCAATGAATGAGGGAGTCCCTTAAAAGCCAGAGATTTGAACATTCCCCAGGTGTGGGAGCTGTGCCACTGTGTTTGGTGACAGCTGCTAGAGCATGACCCCACATGCCATCCTGCACACACATGCTGGTAGGGGACAGCCTTGCGAGCTGAAGCAGCACACCTGTGGGAGCTCGGGGTGGACAAGGTGACCCAAGGTGACCCACAGTGCTCCAGCATATCCTTGTGAAGGAGCAGGACTCCAAAAAAGTCACTGTCATCTTCACCCATGAGCTGTGTCACTCATGTTTTGTTGTGCAAGTCCTAGGATCAGGGATGTTGGCTGCCTGGGAGCTCCTGCCTCGAGTTTATGGCCAACAATAGTTGCAATGTGCAACTTTCACGAACTTTAAGTCCTGCAGACAGGGGAGCACTCACAGGATCCTTATGTGGCTATAGTGGGGTCTGGCAGTCACCCGCTGGCTGTAGGGCATCACCACTGCCCAGGCTCAGCCTTCCCAGGAGCAAACAGTGCCTCCCCAGCTGGGAATGCCATTCCAGAAAGCAGCACCTTCTCCCAAATGCCTGTGGCCATGGCAGCAGATTTCACGCCGGCTGTTTTCCAAAACATGAGCAATTAGAGTACTTCTGCTACATTAGTTTACATAAATACAGCGGCGCCTCAGCATTAACAGGCAGAGAATTTTGAGCCCTGGGAATGGCAGTGTCTGGCAATAAATAATGAATTAAGGAAAATAAGGGAAAACCTGGACAGTGGTTTGTTTTATCCTGTCTCACAAGTCATTGCTCAGCTGGAAAAGGCCCCGTGCCCATCTGCCACCCTTAGCAAGGTAGGGTTGTTTTCCGTGCAGAAGCTCTGTCATGAGCTTCTGGCATCTCCAAGCCATGTATTGTTGAAACAAGATTTCTTCAAAATGCACATTATGCCATGTCTACCATTCAACTACCACAGTATTTTGTATTGTTACATTGATACATTATGATAATTGCATTTTTAAATGTTATACTCATATCAATACCTCATATTTTTACCTCATCAGTTGGTATCAGTCATTAGTTGTAAATAAATAATTTCAGAGTTGAATAAATTTGCATACACTAAAGAATCAAGTTCTTTGTGCTCTTTTTTTATCCATTGACTCAAGAAATGCTGAATTTAAGCCCTCAGTTTCTTTATTGCAACCTCTACACACTAAACTGTTCTGGTGTGGGACTTCAGTAATGACTGCAGGCTCAAAATTATATTGTTGTTCATTATACTTAGGCTGTAGTATCTGTATATATACATGAGCTTCATGGCAAAGACTGTTCTCCAAATTCAGCCATGTTTCTGCATCTATGTTCTTGTCAATAATTTAGGTCTAGGTTCACAGGAGTGACTGGAGCTGGGTGAGTGCTGGGTTCACATTGTCAGACATCAGCCACCTCAAATCCATCAAGCCATTGCAAAAGAGTAAAAGATGCAGTGGCATGATAGTGATTGCTGTAGTTTGTCATACACATTCTACAGATGGATTAAATGTTCCTTTGGATGGGTGTTGTAGTATAACCCAGCTGGCAACTAAGTACACTCTCTATCCTGCCACCTGGAGAGATAGGGAAGAGAATCAGATAAAGGTAAAACCTGTGAGTTAAGAATAGTTTAATAATCGAAATAAAGCAAAATTATTGTTGTTGTTAGTAATAGTTATTGTTATTATTATTATTATTGCTATTATTCACAACAACAAGGGGATAAAAAAGAGAGGAATAAAAGCCAAGAAACTCAAATGATGCACAGTACAGTTTGCTCACCACTTAGTGACCAATGCCCAGCCATCCCTGAACAGCAATTGTCCCCCTCAGCCAACTCCCCCAGTTTATATACTGGTCATGATGTTCTGTATGGTATGGAATATCCCTTTGGCCAGTTTGGGTCAGCTGTCCTGCCCATGCTCGCTCTCAGCTTCTTGTGCAGCTCCTGACTGGCAGAGCATGGGAAACTGAAAAGTCCTTGACTCAAGGTGAGAACAACTTAACAATAACCAAAATATTACTGTATTACCCATAGGAACACTGATGTTTCAGCTCCCAGTATGCACAGACTTTGTAGTGTGGAATTCTTGGGTGCCCATCCTCTCTACAACACCTTGCAGGAGTCACCAGCAGGGCAATCCCTCAGCTTGATGCATTTACACTGCAGAATCGGTGTCACCCTCAGAGGATTTTGGCAGGCCTGAGAGGTTGCTCTCTGAAATGGCTCGTAGTTCTTTGATAAGAGCACAGGCTGAGCACCCTGGGATGACTGTGAGGTGAAAATATTGAAATAAATATACAGAAGATTGCTGGAGCCTGCCAATCAGATAGGAGAGGATGAAAACACACACATACTGCTGCTCCGGCTCAGTTGTGATGTGAAAATGCTGGGGAGTGAACACAGACCTTGCCAAACAGAAAGCAGCATGACCCACTCACAATCTCGTGGGAATTCAGCATGATCATGTCACGGTCTCCTTGCCCGATGTGTGTCAGCTACAGCTGCACCTTGGCTTCATTTAGATGGGTGCTAGACCAGGCAGACTATTGGTACTATGCAGTTACACATCAGTGTGTGACACGACCAGGAATACAAGGCATCAAGCCACAGACTTGCAACAGGGTAGCTGTTTGGATTTTTCTAAAAGGTACATTTTAAATTGTGACCCTCAATATCCTAGGCCACTCAGCAAAACAATGTAGAAAGCCAACAAGTCATCCAGAGCAGCAATGGATGCGGAGCAGAACACACTGTGCAACTGCAGACCGCCCTGCTCCATTGTGCAAGACTGCTCAGCAAACACAAGGACGTGTGGAACTCAAGGGCAAATGCAGGCCAGAGCAGCGGGTCTTGGTTAATGAGTAAACGAGAGAAAATGTCACAACAATGCAGAGAACTACTTGCCTATCCTACATAGGCTGATGTTCAGGAGGTCTCACACCTCCCTAACCCCACAGCAGGTCCCAGACACCAGAGCCTCTACAGCTCTGACAGAGATCAGCATCTCTTGCACAAAAAGTAACCTGGACACTTAGCTGCTTCCACACCTTCGACTCTGAAACAAGGATCTCTATCCCAATACCTTAGTACTGACCTCCCACAGGTAGTTCTTTTCCACTGCCTGAGCCCAGTCCTTGAGCACAGCATGACCTCTGTCCCACTCAGTCCCTGCACCTGCTAACGCAGCCCAGGATGCACAGGAGGACACAGCCTTTAGGGCAGGGTGACCATGGCCAGGTGGTCCCAGTTCCAGCTGCAAAAGGGAGTCAGTCATGGCCAGCCTGCCAGGGCTTGAGTACAGAATGTCCTGTGTCCCACAGCAGGGACAAAACACTGGGGTGAGGAGTCTCTCTGCTTCTCTTCAGGAAGGCCAGCACACTAAAACAACCATAAGCCTCAGTCCCATTGCAATGACAAACTGGGGCTTTTGATCCTCTCCCAGGGATGAGAATCCTGCAAGATGGAGAGGCTAAAGGCAGTGAAATGTTCTCTGCCTTGAGCAGAGACTTGAACTGCAGTGTGCAGGTTCTTAGCAGCAGTTTGCAAGGGGACAGGATGAGTTCCTGGCTGTGCTGGAGCTTCAACAAGAGAATACCTGGCTCTGCTGCAAGAGCAGTTGCATGGAGATCTGCTGGCAGCCAGCTACAGGATTACAGCTTATTTCTTAACCAAAATGGTAAATTGTGCAAAACACATAAGGGAAACTCAGCCTAAGACTACAGATTCTGCTCTATCTCCTGCTCATAGCAGCCCCAAGATAGACACATGTTCACAAACACAGAGCCAGCATTTACTGCAGGGAGGATTTGCAGCAGCTTGCGATTTATGGGAGCAAATTAGCTGCAGGGCCATCTGTCCTTCCCCAGACCACTGGCCTGCTCCTTGCTGGAATGACTGCTGTTCCTTGAAAGGATGGATGTGTATTGAATTACATACTCTTTTGTTTTTTTCCTTTTTTTTTTCTTTTTAATTAAATAAACATGGGAACCACAGGTGGTGGAGCAGACAGTAACCCTCTCAGCAGCAGCATCTGTGGGCCAGCAGTGCCCCACCACGTGTGTGGGACAGATGCTGGCTGAGGGCAGCCTGACCCCCAAACCCACCCAGGTTCTGCCAGCCCACGTGGCCACCCCACTGCTCCCTGCTAATACCAGCCAGGCTTGCTCATCACAGCAGTAGGACACAAAACACCACAGCTGGTCTGGCTTGACAGCAAACAGCGTCCTTTTTTGCCTCCCTTTTTTGCCTCTTTAAGTTTAGAGACTTACCATGAGGATAGTCCAAAGCAGGAAGTTTTCATCAACACCAAAACCCCAGCCCTGTGCCTCACTGCTGGCCAACCAGCACAAGAAGAGCCCACCATGACCAAAGTGTAGAGCACTCTGAGGTTCATCACTGCTCTGGTATTTTGCCCAGTGTTGTCTGGAGCCCAGTGAGACAGGAACTCAGAATTGGACCTATGAAGAGAAAGTACAGGATTTTAACTCTTTACCCTGGATTTCTCTTTCCCTGAAGAGTCATGTTGCTTTTCTCCTGGCCCAGGGAGGATGGATCACACAAGCACCTTAGCCAGGCTCCAGAACTGGCTCAACCCCATCTGTTGCTTTGCAAAAGATGCAAAAAAAAAAAAAAAATTGTTTAGGGAAAACTTCCCTATGTTCAGTGGCTGTACATTGGGGTCTCCAGTGAGCAATGGGGCTGCTGGTCAGGAAGGACAAGCTCTGCTGCTGCAGATGCATTGACACAGTATTGGCAGCAATGCCGACAAGCAGGGCACATCAACAGCTCCCTCTGGGGCCATGAGACGCCCAGAACACCATCTCAGAGCAAGTTTTTGTCCATCTTTCCTACAAGGCTGGGGAGCCCAAGCCAGTCTGCCCTGTATCACAGCATGGATGCTCAACTTTGCCAACAGGGAACCCACCCACCTCATCATGGAGAGAGCCACCACTTGTGTTTTAATTACATCCCCCTTCCCCACCACCTGTGTTTTAATTACATCCCCCTTCCCAAACACTGAACCATCCCCCATCCACAAGCATTGCCTTGGATGGGGTTCACTGCCTGGCCATGCTGATGATGCCTTTTTAACCTATGGTTATCCTCATGTCCTCTCCACACATCAAGGAGGTGCCAGGACACTCATAAAGTGTTGGGCAGTGACATTCATCGCACTGCTGAAACCACTAAGACAGTGATGGAAAAGTTTGTGGTTTTTATCAATGCAAATAAAAGTAAAGGTTGCAAATGATGAAAAATTAAAAGGACATCACTGGGTTAAGACAAAATGTTACAATATGGCCTCCTTGGCCTCCCAATATGTTTTGCCTTGGGCAACCATTTCCAGCAATGGCTGGTATTTATCAGCAAAAAGATACAGTTATTACATTTCGGTTTTTCAAATAATTGAGTAATTTAATCTTTTAAGTGCCTCTGAGATCACTTGCTGTAATTAAAGACAGAAGATGAATGACTGAAGTACAAGAGCATTGGAGAACTTTAAAAATGAATGTCCTTGACTCCATCTCCTGCTCATTTATGTAACAATGATTCCCACATTAATGTGACTAAACAGATAAAAGGTGAAAATAATAAGAGCTTGGTTGCATTATTTTTCTTCCAGTCCAATAATAATATATCATCAGGCAGAGGAATGTGCCCGTGAATACCAAGCAGGAGCAACCATGTGCTGCCAAGAGCAGGACCCCGCCGCCTCCTGCTGTGAGGTGCAAGGAAAGGCAATATCCGCTCAAGGATCCTGCAGCAATGTGGCAGATAAATGAGTTACAAATGTCTATAAAATTCACAAACTTGCATCAGAATTGGACTTAAAAGCTCAGCAAGTGCTGGGAGAGGCAGCTGCACCACTGGCAGTTTCCTTTATGAGCACTTATTTTCTAGCTTTTGGAAATAAGACCCATCTAATCCTAGTGGACAGGGGGAGGCAGAAGGGTTGCTCCAAAGTGAAAACTATCGACGAAAAACCTGTAAGGCCTGTAAACGTCGTTTTGCCTTCTAAGAAAACTATACACCTTGATATACCTCTGTCATACCTCGATATTTAGCTCCCTATTTCACAGCCCAAGT